CAGCAGAACTTTTTCTGAACTATGTCATGTCACTGTTTAGAGACATTTGTAAAAACGGACTAATCTACCCAGAATGACTGAGTCCAGAATTTGCAAAGTAAGGAATTCACTGAATTAAGTAACGCATAAGTGAACATCACTTTTCCACCTTCATGTTCTCACATTGTTGTATTTTATTTGCAACACAATTGATCAGAGACTATTGATATATGTTTTTATTAAAGAAGTTGCAGCTTTGTTGATTTGCGTTGATTTGCGTTCAGAAGGAACAGAAGTCTGTTTAAGACTGAGAACATCATAAACTTATCGAAAGACTTGTGACGTTCACGACGGTCACCGATCTTCAGCTGCTAATTTTATTAGTCGTACTGATCATCGTTTCACAGAAAAATTCCTTTGCAAGTTAAAGTTAACTAGTTCGAGAAGAAGGATCCTAGAAAGGTTCATGCAGTGTTGTCTCAATATAACAGAATCAGTTTTGTGTTAGAAGCTTGCAAGATTGTTAAGAGCTTCATTTCCTTATCATTAATGTCGCCATTTACCCCTAAAGCATCCACTGCAGATACTATCTAGTGACAAAACAAGTCATAAATAGGGAAGTAATTCGGTGGCGTTCATTCTCTGCTTATTCATTACTACCTTGAACTTTAAAGTTTCTAAACTAACAACAGTGAACATTCGAATTTCAGAAAGTCTGCTTACCGACGTCACTGGGCGATCCAAATGTATGGCTATACATAAATGAGGAATGGATCCCGGGGAATGGATACACCAAGAACCAGCGATAATACTAAGGTACCCGATTTCTCCTTCTTTGATTTAAGACAAATTAAGACTTGGAAAACCGAACAGTTAGCATGGCATTGGACATATTGAAGCTCTTTCCCATCTGCCTCGGAAGTGAGACATATGTACAAGATTAGCGGGCGCTTGTTTGGGTGCGGTGTTTTATGCATAATTAATTATATTTACATTGAACGACGTTAACGTCTGAGCTGGAATCACGCGATATTTTGGAGAGAAACAACGGATTATTATTGAAAGCTATTCAACTGTGCACACAACGTTATGTAATATTATGCTAAGGAGAGAGTAATTTTAAGTGGCACACTTTTCAGATATTGGCCCGCGGGGTTGGTAGCAGTGTATCATTATACCCATAAAAAATTCACCGTAATACCTCAAGTTCTCCTCAACACCGAGAGCAATAAGAAATGTAATACCACACGGTACACTTGTTTGGTTTTTTGATCATGGCAAATGCCATACAGCTTTTTAAAATCCTGTATAAAACATAACACAAACCTGTTCACGAAGTGTGGTTAAGATCTGAAGAAAATGAAGTGAATGACAAGGGCGGGCATTGGGGGGTACTCTCTCAGGTATATGCAGCTCCAACAGGGTATGTCAGATGTTTTTCGCCTTTTAGACTTTTGTGAAATTCCGAATAGATTTGTTAAAATTTTGGCTTTTAATAGGGAATGGTTTGCTCAAAAATTAGACATGTATGGTTAGGAACCACAACACTTCTCTTCTATTCGACATCTTGGGCAGAATTTGCCTGTGATCAGTTTGAAGCTCTTCTGCAAAGTGGTAACAAATCAATCAGCTACTGTTAAAAGCTAGGAAAATACATCAACGTGCTCGTGCTGTAACTGTATGGTAAGAAATAGGGCATTAAATTTTGAGTTAGGTCTGAAATGTAGTGGAAAAAATCTCATAAATAGCGTGAATTCGTCAATCTGACCCAATCTCCGTTTTCCAGTTACAGGGAAAATATATTTATTGATTCATTGAAGTTATCAGTAGGGTTTTTGTTTTTTACCTCATTTTTGTAATTAAAGGTAATCCGGGGGGGTCCTGCCCGTTAGGGGGGTGTTCCATTTTGTATTACAATGTAGAACCGTGTGGTAGTAATTAATTTCGAGAATAAAGTGGACCAAGTATTTTTTGAGACTTCACTGTCCTTTCTATTAAAATGAAACGTAGCAAATGACAAACATATCCGCAACATGGTTATTCAAAAGGCATTGCAAAAATCCTACTCCCGTGGGAAAAACATAAAACCTCACATTTAGCCAATCAGAACAGAGCTTTTCACATTGATTGTTTCTGACCCAATCAGAAAATATGTCCAGATTTTGTTTTCTACTTACGATCTGAGACTGAATTACTGTATCATGTAAGGATAATACACAGAAACAAAGCGGCTAAAAAGGTCTAAATTATTGTTTATTTACAAAACAACCACTCAATTTCTTTTTATACATGATCATGCTGTACCTGTTTTAAATACTTCAAAAGTCTTACGTATCCAGCGAAAAGAACATACAGTTAAAATTAGTACAGATTGCATATATGAAAATGTTCTTGGTCAGGGTTACTCTCCGATAGAGTTTTCATTATAGCATTCTAAAAAGTCGCATTGTGTCAGTGACAGACTACAAACGAATTTAACCAAAACAGATACAAATACTGAAGAACAATGAAAACTTGAAGAAAGCTGTATGAGTTAGATGACAACAAATTTTAAAATTCTGTTTCTTTGTTCAATGTAGTAAGTTTACAGAGAGATTGTACGATTCTCCACTATCGGAATTTTGTGTACACCACAGTATTGTGGCTCAAGCTTCAGAGACTTGCGACAAGAGCGTCCACCATTTGATCAGTCAATTGGATCGTCTGAACTTGTGCTCGGCGGCTCCAAATCAGTTGGTGGTGGTGTCAGCATCGGACGAAAGACAGAATATCCCGGCATACCTGGTGGGGGCGGAACGGTGACGGGGTATCTCCACAGGGAGGAGCATGGGATGTGATCTTGAACCTGACCTTGAGGGAAGAGGTTTGGACGGTCATGCAGGCCTGGATTGGGTCCATGGGCCATAGGAATAAAAGCTTGCACTAACAATGTACTAGCTGTAAAGAAATAAGGTCCGGAAATTAACATGGTGATAGTATTGTACGTGGTAACTTTTCAGACAGAAATGTTGCTTTGCAAAAGACTGGATTTCATTAATTGAAATAAATTGGCCTGAATCCTGACTGACCATTCTAATCCACAATACTTCTCTGCTTTCAAACGCCATTAATAAACCTGATTCGCTTGCACGTTTTGTGGCTAATTTTGAGAGAATATAAAGTCGAATACCCTTACGTTATTATAAAACGATCTACATTGAACAACAAATCCTACAAGCCGAGTAAGCTTTACTAAGAATTCCTTTTGGGAGAAAAAACCAACCACGTGTCATTGTTCTACTTCTATGCTCACATAGGAGTTGTAAACTTCGCAATTTTAATTAAGATGTCGTAAGAATCCTTACCAGGTGAAGCGAAGGGCGCTGGAACAGCAACAGTAAATGGCGCGTCCTGACAACTAGGGTGAGTGTCTAAGGTAGGACTGCTGCTGGACACTTGCTTTGGTTCTACATGAGGGTCTTTAACCAATTCAGTCTGAACAAATGAAAGTGAGACGAGAATGAGTGATGATACAAACTGGCAAAACCTACAACAATTTAATCTTTTAGGCGTCAATCATGAGTGCATGAAACAGATGTTCTGGGTTCTGATTTTGTGGATCACCAACGATTAATGCAATGCAATTTATTTCAAAAGTGCCGTGCGATATGACCGTCTAATACGGTCTATTGCAGATGACGAAACATATGCACCAATAGAGAGATGACAAGCATCTTTGTATGTGAACTTTCTGTACAGGAAATCAACTAATAGAGGGTTAGTTAATTCCTTACAGTTTTATCGTCATGATGCATGCTTATCTGGAGTTGGCCTAATAAATCACCACCCTCCCTCCCCAAGGGAATGTAACATATACCTCATTTCCACGGTTAAAGGTGTGGTTTATAAGCTGAGGTAGAGTCTAGAATGAGGTATATTACAATATTTACAATCTTTGATCAGCGGTAAGAAGAACTGGATATTCCGGTTCACAGGTTTTCTTGGATATATAGGGTGGGATCTTAGGTGTTTTTTCTAGACCAGGGCGGCAAATGGTCGGGTGAAGACTAAGGGAACCAGGGACAAAGCGGCACACCCCTTCCCTCCTTAAATAATCACAGAACCCCACCCGGGATAAAAATCCCAATGTTATTGGACAATATTTAAACTGTAAAACCTCTGTTGATGGTTATGAGGCTTGTAAGCTTATACACCACAACCTCTCCTTTGCTACCTAAAGAAGCATGGTATTTCGGACAGTTTAGCATCTCGGAATAGACAGCAATAGCTATTCTGTGTCAGTACGGATTACAGGAACGGGTCTATCGTGTAGCCGTCAGTTGCTAATTTGAATCATTCTAGGTCAGCAATTTCATCGACATCATAATGTTATTGTAAAATGTGATTTATTTGTCTTCAGCGATTTATAGTTTCCGCTGACCTCTCCCCCGAGTTGACCGACCGGCAGATGATTTCAGCAAGTTGGGGTATATGTTCCCTTTTCCTATATAAATTGGTGTCTGTATCACGATATTATCAAGATCCATGACACTGTTGACAGTGATAACGAGACGGCAGAATGTAAGCGAATTTTGCTATAATTTACCCTGACTTACTTGAAACTCATAACGCGTTATCGCGTGTCGGGTTGTGAAAATTGCAACATCTCTGTCAAGAACGGAGAGTATCGCGTCTCAGCCCTGTGATTATTAATATTTCCAAAATAGCCCTCTTAGATACCAACTTTGGCCTTCGTTTTTTTCGGCCTCTATTCAACGAAAATGCTTCTTCATTTTTGGAATTTGAGTTCAGGTTGAGAGTACATTTCAAACAAGCGATTTTATAAGCATGATCATTTTTTGACTTTATAGCAGTTCTAAGATCTTAAATAAACTGACCATCAGTGACCTACAGGATCCTGTATCTACACACTTGTGTGTGTCTTTCTGGTAGTGAAAGAAAAATTGGCCGACTCCACTATTAACATGTTCGTTACCAAAAAGAAGCCTAAATAAGTTCGTTTCACGCTGTGAGGGTTTATTTTATTTTATCACTGTCTGAAGAGGAAGACTTCGGAAGTCTGCCGTAATTACCTCATGAAGAGAGATACGCTCCAACTCAGGTAGAGAGTCTTGCAATTCAGTCTGTGACCCCATTTCCTACCAAGACAAGGAACAAGGAAAGCTATTCAGAACTGACAAACCAGCTGACGATACAACTTTGCCTGCATATTTCTATGTTTGTTTGCGTTTCAAGAAAGTTTGAGCATGGTTTGCTGTTTTGCTACGAGAGTCGGATCGTAAGGGAGGGGGGGGGAGGGGTAGGGGGCTCTAAAGGGGGCAGTTCTGACAGATCTGCCGATGTTCTTGAATATAATTCTAAGCTTAAATGCTTGGAATGCCGCGTTGTCACTAAAATCGCCACGTATATTTTCAAGAATTACGTAGTACATAAAGCGAACAATGGATATCGTGCCATTATTCGCACCCTTAGCATATTGGATCCTACGCCAGCTCATCGCAAACGGGCAGTTTTTAAACATGGACGGATAATGATTATGTTAATGTTTTCCTCTCTTTTAAAATATCAGTTGAAAAAAAGGGTCGCGTTTGCTTATGAGAGGTGGTCATTTAACAGAGGCTCGCCAGTTTACAAAAGCTTTGACCGACAGAAGTTTGGTATTTTAGAAAAAAACAAGGTCACACACTAGCAATGGTAATAACATAAATGTTTGTTTGCTCTTGACCTACTCAGTGTCGAGAATCAAAGGGAAACAGTCGACACGTCGTTTCATTGTAAAGAAAAATTTTGCTGAAACCATTTAACGTTTTTTTTTTCTCAAAGAAAATCACCTGGTAACACACCTGCTTTTGATTCAGCTCATGTGATTGAGAAAATGGCTGTTCATATTCGATTCCTTCCTCATCCTGTGACAAACGACACACTTAAGCTTTACAACATCCATCTACCCTCTTCACTGGCGGATCCAGGGGAGGGACCCGGGGGTCCGACCCCCCCTCCCTACTTTTTGACCAAACTGAGGTAAAATTTTTTTTGGAGACCGGCCCCCCCCCCCCCCCTCCCATCTTAGGGTCTGAATGATCCACCTCCGCCCTTATCTCAAGGTCCGGATCCGTCACTGCTCTAAGAGTAACTTATTATATACTATATCATAGTAAAACTGTTTTGAATGGAGAGACCTTTTTCTTTCAGTACAAAATTTGAGTACCCACCTGTTCCTGAGGGTCGCGTGATTCACCAAACGATCTTGCATCTCCTGGTTTGAGGTTTCCTTTTTTATCCTGCTAAAAGATCACGAAATCGGCAATGTTTACCTTCTTAATGTTTCGTTCGAATACCAAAGTCAACAATATCATCAAGTAACGCTCATGCCGTAAAGCATCGCGCTAATAGAAGCCTAATTAACCATTTTTTATACAATGAGGCTACTCTGTTTGAAAACAAAGTCATAGGAAGGCTTTACCTCATTAACTGGTAAATGTTTCAACTCGGGTAAGTTTTGGAACTTGGTCTGGGTTTCCATGTCCTATGAAATGAAAAAACGAAAGGTTCATCATCTTTTTACTGGTATTAAAGCGTGTAAAAATATCAATTTAATAACGCTTTGCGAGGATATTAATACTGTCTTGTTGTTTCCTAGGCATGGTTTGAGCAATTTTTACAATTTTAACCACGCCCATTGCTGTACAAGATCATACAACTTGTTCTACTTTTGTACTTAAGATAGACCAAGCAACGGATAACACGTCTCTTAAAACAAAATCTTTGTATAACCCACCTGTCCCACCTGTTTATTGACAGAAATCCAACATTAATTAGTTCAAGGGAAATAGAAACTTAAATGAAACAGAACAAAGATAAAGTAAATAAACTAAAATAAGAGAAGTGAATGACTAACCTGTTCCTGTTCCATCTCTGATTCAGATAATGGATCAGGCAATTCAGGTGGAATCATGAGGCTTCTTAGAATAGCCTGCAACAATTAAATAAAACTTTTCTTAATGCACGGGTTCTCATTTCAATACTTTTAATGTAACTGCTCTGTTATTAACTACCACCAACTCGTAAAACCTCAGTAACAAACGCTAATTAACGAAGGCTCCCAAGCGTGTTTGATTATCTCTGACGGACAGAAAAATAAAACTGAATTAAGTCAGAAGCATCTGCTTCTGATAAAGTAAATAAACTTAAACAAATAAAGCTGGTGACAAACCAGTTGCAGTTCCATCTCTGATTCAGATGATAAATCAGGAATGAGATCAGGCCTTTCATGTTCCGGCTCGGTGTTCCTTTCAGCCTCCTTCAACAAATAAAACATTTTCTTAAAGTGCATATCACCCTGGGTTTCTTAAAATTTTTAACCAATTCTATGCGACTTCAGCTTTAAAACAAGGTACAATTTTCGTGCATCGCAAAAAACTAACGGCTTTTATGCTCAGTTAAAGAGTACGAAATTTGCCTATTTGAGCTGAGGGAGGGGGGGGGTGGGGCGTGTACGGTGCGGCTATACGTAGGCTAGAAACAATGACGTAGTTTAAGGCATTGTTCTTACTTCCTCCCAGTTTGTTGTAGCTTTTGCCTTAACTCCTCATCTATCGATCTCTTCCTATTGTACTCTTGAATAAACTGCTGACTCGCCAAAGGCTCTCCAGCGTAGGAAATTGCAACATCTTCATCTTCAGCCCCTCCGAAACCTCGCGTAGTTGGGTCATAATTTTCGACTTCGTCTTGGAAGTTTTGCTACATATTCGGTGCAAACCCAGGAATAAAATTCCATTCTGAGCCATCAGAAATCAACACTTGACAAGCTTTCCAAGTGAGAAATCTTATTTAGACGGAACGCAGACGTCGGTTCAACGAAGACTAAGCAACGACCGACGGCAACGAGAGCGGAAAAAAGAAATAGGTTTGGATTAATAGCAAAACAACCGGGCTTTTTTTGCACGTGCATGTCGCTTTTGTACATTTCTTTGCCGTTGGCCGTTGTTGCATAACTCCAGAAAACATTCACCAACATTTCACAAAATTGAACGACAAAGAATGAAAGCCATGTATATTAAAAACAGCGTGGATTCACTTTTTAAGAGACGTTTTCGCGCCGTCGTCGTCGTCATTGCTTAGCTCCCTAATAAGTCAGGTCCAACACGACGTGGAACTCTGACATGCGTGCTAAGCATATTAAGGAGAGAACAATGCCTCAAAATACGTCACTCGCCACAGGCCCATAATGTCACGGCCTATGATATTACTTTCACATACTTGAAAATCTGAGAAAATGAGATCTAGCTAAAATCAAAATCAATCTGCGGCAACGTTTATTACAGGTTTTCTATTTTTATTCCATTTTTTTAAAACAAATTTGGGGTGGTAGGCACTTTAACACCATTTTGCGCTTGCTTTGCACTGATTCTCATTTAAATTTAAATTATCGACCACAAACTCGAAAATTCTCCGTAATGGAGGTTAACAACAATGTGTAATGATGATTTGTTTGTAGCCTAAATAACTTCGTTTCACGCTATGAGGTTTTTTTAATTTTATCACTGGTTGAAAAGGAAGGTTTCGGGAATCCGCCGTAATTACCTCATGAAGAGAAATACGCTCCAACTCAGGCAGAGAGACTTGCAATTCAGTCTGTGACCCCATTTCCTGTGAAGACAAAGAACTAAGTTCATCTAAAAAAACTATTCAGTAACAACCTAGCTGACGATACAACTTTGCGTGAATATTTCTACGGTTTGCGTTTCTAGGTAGCTTGAGCACGGTTTCCTTTCTTACTATGAGAGTCGGATGATGAGGTGGCGGGGGGGGAAGGGGGTAGGGTTCTACAGGGACAGTTCTGATAGATCTGCTGATATTCTTGAATACAGTTCGAAGCTTAAATGCTAGAAGTGCCGCGTGTTGTCACTAAAATCGCCAAGTACATTTACAAAAATTACTTAGTAAATAAGGCGAACAACGGATATCGTGGGATTATTCTCACCCTTAGGATATTAGTTCCTACGTCAACTCATCGCAAACGGGTAGTTCTATAACATCGATAATGTTAAAATATCAGTTGAAAAAGTGGTCGCGTTCGCTTATGAGAGGAGATCATTTACAAGAGGCTCGCCACCTTAGAAAAGCTTTGACTGAGAGAAGTTTGGTACTTTAGAAAGAAGGTCGCATACTAGCAATGGTCGCACATGGAGGCTTGACTGTCATAACATACACAAAAATTTAAATGAAGATATGATCGTCACAGTGGTAATCGCAATTCAAGCAATTGCAAATGAAGTCCCGTCTTAAGCTTGTATTGTAAAGCAAAATCCTGCTGAAACCAACGGGTAACACACCCACTTTTGATTTAGTTTCTGTGGTTTAGAAAATGGCTGTTCACCCTGTCTCAAATAACACACTTACACTTTATAACACCATCTACCCTCTTAGAGTAACTGTTTTCTAGGCAAGGTTTAAGCGATTTTGACAATTTGGATTACGGCCATAGTTGTACAAGATCATACAACTTGTTCTACTTTTGTACATAAGATAGACCAAGCAACGGACAAACAAAATCTTTATATAACCCACCTGTTCCACCTGTTTATTAACAGAAATCCAACATTAATTAGTTCAAGGGAAATAGAAACTTAGATGAAACAGAACAAAGATAAAGTAAATAAACTAAAATAAGAGAAGTGGATGACTAACCTGTTCCTGTTCCATCTCTGATTCAGATAATGGATCAGGCAATTCAGGTGGAATCATGAGGCTTCTTAGAATAGCCTGCAACAATTAAATAAAACTTTTCTTAATGCACGGGTTCTCATTTCAAAACTTTTAATGTAACTGCTGTGTTATTAAGTACCACCAAATCGTAAATCCTCAGAAACAAACGCTGATTAACGAAGGCTCCCAAGCGTGTTTAATTACCTCTGACGGACAGACAAATAAAACTGAATTAAGTCAGAAGCACATGCTTCTGATAAAGTAAATAAACTTAAACAAATGAAGCTGGTGACAAACTAGTCTCCCTCGCAGCCGTTTTTTAGTAACGATACTAAAAACGGCTGCGAGGGAGACTAGTGACAAACCAGTTGCAGTTCCATCTCTGATTCAGATGACAAATCAGGAATGAGATCAGGCCTTTCATGTTGCGGCTCGGTGTTCCTTTCAGCCTCCTGCAACAAATGAGAAAACATTTCTTTAAGTGTATATCACCCCAAATTTGTTGCAATTTTGACGAAATTTTATGCGATTTCAGCTTTAAAATGAGGTACAATTTGCGTGAATCGGATAAAACTAACAGCCTTTATGCCCAGTTAAAGAGTACGAAATTTGCCTATTTGAGTGTAGATAGTTCCCTGGGTCGAGTGAAACAATGACGTAATTTGAGGCATTGTTCTTAGCTCCTCCCCGCTTTGTTGTAGCTTCTGCCTTAACTCCTCTTCTATCGCTCTATTTCTATTGTACTCTTCAATAAACGGTTGACTCGTCAAAGGATCTCCAGCAAAGGGAATTACAACATCATCTTCAGCTGCCCGCTCGGGTAGTTGAGTCATAATTTTCCGACTTCTTCTTATGCTGGATATTCGCTACAAACCAAGGAATAACATTCCATTCTGAGCCATCAGAATCGACACTTGACAAGCTTTCCAAGTGAGATATCTTATTTACTACACGGAACGATGGCGGTTCTACGAAGACTAAGCAACGACCGACGGCAACGAGAACGACAAAAAGAGCAAAACAACCAGGCTTTTTTTGCACGTGCATCTCGCTTTTTGTACATTTCTTTGCCGTTGGCCGTTGTTGCATAACTCCAGAAAAAATGCACCAACATTTGACAAAATAGATCGACATAGAATAAGAGCGATGAATATTGAAACAGCGTGGATTCACTTTTTAAGAGACGTTTTCGCCCCGTCGTCGTCGTCGTTGCTTAAGCTAATGAGTTTCCCACGTGGAACTCTGACATGCGTGTTAAGGATGCTAAGGAGACCAATGCCTCAAAATACGTCACCCGCCCCAGGCCCAAAATGTCTTCGCCTATGATATTAATTCCACTTATGGCTCTTGACTCCACATATTTGAAAATCTCTAGAAAAATGATATTTAGCTAAAATCAAAATCGATCGATCTGCGGCATAGTTAATATATAAAAGGTTTTGTATTTTTATTCCATTTTTTAACAAATTGCATTATCTACCGACAACTCTTGAACGTGTTTGATTTCCTCTGACGGACAGAAAAAGAGAACTGTTCACACAAACACTGAAAGTCTTAAGGTGGCTCCGTCAATAATACAGGAGCATTGAGAGATGACTGACTTTCCGTCATAACTTTTTTGTTTTCAACGCGATGGCTGCGAAACTTTGCAAAGAACAATAGATATCATTCGGCAATAATTGCCACCGCAGGGATTTCGCCCAGAAGGCGAAATCCCGAGAAGGGACTCTAGTAACTCGCGCGTATATTAGTACTTACAGTTGAAATATACAGTCATACAGTCAATACAGAAAAAATCTCGATTTGCTTGAACAGAGGCCGCGAGGAATCGGTAGGTAATGATGACGTTTCTATTGTTTGCGCCGCAAGTACGAAATGGTTAGGATGACGTAAAGACAGAAAATCCCGAAGGGACCGGTCAGGTAGATTTTGTGACATTTATTATGCAGTCATACTTCGGTACTCTTTTGCGTTACGCAGTGACATTCTGTGGAGCAGTTGTTTTGAAAGTTATGGACCAAAATGACAGTCGTTAAGCGCAGAGGAGGTTATAAGGTGCGTTTAACTGTGTATATATAAACACTTGGAGAGTTTTTCCAGACACGAGTTCACAAATCTTTGATTTATATTGGAAACCTTCCCTGACACTCTTTCTCTCTCTTTGACCGGAATAAGACTCAGCCCCAAACAAGCAAGACGAGTGAACAACGGCTAGCTTATCACTAGCAGAACGATGGACGATTACAGAAATTCACCTACAATCAAATTCTGTGCTGACTTATTCCCTGCTCACAGATGTCCTTCCGTTATAAAGTTTCAAATAAGACTAGTGAATCGATCAAACGTCCTTTTCATTTCTAAGGCTTACTTTCCAGCAAATAAAATGAACTGAATGTAAAAAGTGAAAGAGAAATAACCGAAAAATTCAACTTCTAATAAATCTTTTCTTATGGTTTAGAATAAACTATTCTCGAAATTGAGAATGTTTTGATCGAAGTTGTGTAAATCGAGCTGAAACTGTGCATGGAACCTTGCGTTTATTTACTGTATTTATCTCACCTATTGTATGGAATATGTGTGAAAATCTTCATTATGAATCGGTATATTTCAAAGAGCTACACAACGAGCAAGAATACTATTGACCGACAATATACAGAACGGGGGCAGTGTAGTGTCAACTATTACTAGTATAATATAATAATATAATATTTTGATTTCATTGATGGTAAACATTTTTTGCGTTTTAAGTCATAGATAAGGAGGGGGGCATTGGGGTATATTAGAAACCGCAAAACCGAAGAAAAAATCATCCAAAACCGCAAAACGGCAAAAAAATTCGGCCAAAACCGAAAACCGCATACAAAACCGTCAAAAACCGATACAATGGTGACAAGTGGGGCATACAGAGCAAACTAAACTAACACTAATTTCACCAAAGTATTTGTGAATGTCATGGACTTTGTCTGAAGCCTTCGTATCTTTTTGTGTCTGCTTAAATCATAGGCTTTGTTTCTGCCGCTCTCTCCAGCCCAGACTTTGCGGCTCAATTTCCGAAAACCCGCTAGGACCGCTAGTTAGAATTGCAATTTTGCAGTCGCAAAAAGCTATAGCTCTCGAAACTTCAATCGAAAATCTCTAATCGAACATTTCCATTTGATAACTAACACCTGAAAGTTTGGAGACTCGATTGTCTAACATGCGATTGCACTGAGCTGAGTCGACACTGAGGAAGCTAACCGGTACAGTTAGTTCCTTTTCAGTTTTACATGGCAGCAGGAACTTGCTCTAAGGTTTAATGTGGTAATAAACAGATACTCAAAAAAGCAGTCGATTATTGAACCTCACTGCCCTTCCATATCGCGACCTTGCACCAAAGAGAAAATTATATGAAAAACCACATCGGGTACCAAAACCGAAAAACCGCTAGTATTTTTCACGAAAACCGAAAACCAGATGCTAAAAAACGAAAAATCCGCAAACCGCAATGACCACCAAAACCGAAAAACCGAAGTCTTTTGCAACAAAAACCGAAAAACCGATCTAAAAATAGCCAAAACCGCAAAACCGAAAATCCCAATGCCCCCCTCGAGAAGGTGTCTGTTTATAATTTCTTTGCTGATCTACCAATTGTTAAACAAAACTCTTTTTTCAAAAGTCTATAGGTCTACTTGGCACAAAATGTCAGTGATATCTTCCCTAAACAGCTTAAAAAGGGAATCTATTTTTTCCAAGGCAAAAGTCACTTTTGGCTAGCCTGTTCCAAGCATTCAGATAGTGGGGAAACATTCTACTTTTGGCCCCAAATCAACTGAGCGCGACCTGCGAGAGAATAGTAGAGAATTTTTATCTGTTAACTGTAGTTTATTTTTAACAAAACCCGACATCAATTTAGTTCAAGGGAAATAAAAACTTACTTGAAACTGAACAAAGATAAAATAAATAAACTTCCTTAAAAAGTCGATGATTAACCTGTTCCATTTCTATGTCTGATTCAAATGATGAATCAGAAATGATATCAGGCGATTCACGTAAAACTCGCAAGAGGGTCCTTAGAGCAGCCTACAACAATAATGAATAAAACTGTTCTTAATGCACGGGTTCTCAATTTAAACCTTTTAACGTAACTTCCAAGATTAACAGCCACCAACTTGGAAATATTCAGTAAAAGACGCTAATTAACGAAGACTCCAAAGCGTGTTTGATTATCTCTGACGGACAGAAAAATAAAACTAAATAAAGTAAATAATGCATTAGTCAACTGCAACCCCGGCCCCCCGATCCCAGCGGCATAGCAGGGATTTAACGCGGCCAATGCCGGGATTTAACGCACATTTAACACGTTCGCCCCGGTGGCGGGGGAATTAACAAAATACCTGTTTTACCCATGTCGTGAGCGGAGATTAAACAGTAATACGAATTTTCGGAAGCGGGGATAGAAGCCGGGATTTAACATGAGTGACTAAAGGAAAAGCGTCGTTTCCAAAAGTTTTGTATGGCGGCAGAAGAGGGATGATGCCGCTGAGAATGAAAATATTAAAACATAGGAGGGGATAGGGGGTGTGCCGCCTAGTTCTCCAAATCCTGACCCTATTTCCGACCAAAAAGTGTCATTTTCCACACCCTTTTTCAGACCTGACCTCTAAAATCCACACCTGTTTTCAGACCTGACATTTAGGCAGAAATTATGTCAGAATTACAGTCAACCGGCCCTTTATAGCGGACACTGTAGGGACCTCAAATTAGTGTCCTCATTAGTGAGAGTCCGTAATAGCGGGAATTTATTTAAGTCAAACGTCTGTAATTTTTTTGCCGAGGAATTTAGCTGCTGTCCGTATTATCGGGGTGTCCGTAAGGCGATAGTTGACTGTACCTATATGGCTTATATAAGAAAGTACCCCTCCCCCCCGGGTTTCGCTTAAGATCCCTTGCCCTTACAAGAATACCATACAGACAGTTACTTTTTTGTAAGCGACCTAACCACATTTTTCTACACAGGCTCCAGAGGTCTGTTCTCAGGGATTAAGTAAGAAAAAAATCCTCTGGCACCCAGAGTAACATTTTTCATGAATTTGAAGGAACGCAATCGAAAGTTTCTATTAACAGGTCCGATGGTTTGAATTTTAAGAAATACAGAATACCAGATCGGACAGAGCGGTTGAAATCGAGCCTAGAACTACACTTTGCTAATTCCCTGCTATACGGGGCTTTTAAGTAGTTGAACTACTTGGCCCGGGGAGCGGGCAAATGTTAAATTCCCCGCTAGGTCCCGGGCGCCGGGGGGGGGGGGGGGGGGTTTCAAATGACTGATGCATAAACTTAAACAAACGAAGCTGGTGACTAACCTGCAGAACCTGTTCCCGTTCAATCTCTCTTTTAGATGATGAATAAGCTTATGAATTTAACTGTAACGCACATATAACAACCTGCCTGATCTTGTTTGGCCAAGCTGGTTCTTATATTGTTGGCTAATAAAGAAGCAAATTTCCGCCAGCAGGTTATTAAGCCACTAGGTTCTTACACGCGGGTTGTTACTGTATTAAAAACTAACTCAGTATCACCAACTCGGAAATCCTCCGTAATGGAGACTTACAAATGAAGGCTCCTGAGCGTATTTGACTATCTCTGACGGACAGAAAAATAGAACTGTTCACACAAATACTGAAAGTCTTACTAAATATTTAATAAATACAGTGTAAATAAACTTTCAGAAAAAAGGTGAGTGATAACTAACCTGCTCCTGTTCATGCGCTGATTCAGGTGATGAATTAGGAAAGAGGTCTGGGTACTTCCTTTTCAAGTAGTTCTCAAGTTCAGGTTTGGGGTTTCCTTTATTATCCTTCAACAAAATACAAAACAATACTTAAAACTACCCATCTCCCTTTAATAAAGTGTGGACGTGTACACATTTCAAAACCTTTTTCATTTTAAGTCCCATGCGGTTACACTGACCAACAAAAGACAATTGTTTATGTGACAACAACTTTGACAAGATGTACTAAGTTCAAAACAAGCCTCGCGGGTCGAAGGCAAAGATTAACAGTCAAAACTTGGCCTATAAAATAAAAGGCAGTTTGTGACTGCATGTGGCTACTGTTTTAGTTTTGTAGAATATATTGCAATAAAACAGGAATGAAAATTGTAGGAAACGATAGAAATTCAGATCGTTTATCCATAAAATTACTATCTTTGCTCTAGAAGGTATATATTTGAAAACCATCAACAACAAAAGAAATAAGCAAACAAAACAAAAACGAAAACGAAACAAAAATGAGAAAAACAGAAGGAAAAAAGAAAGGGTAATGAGCAGGATTCGAACCCGGCACCTTGTCAAAAATTATACGAGCACAAGGTTAATGTTCTAAAAACAACTGACAAACTATTTTTAAGCGTCTTTAAAGTTATTTGCTGAGAGAAATTTTTCCTAGCGAAGATTCTGACTTCTTTTGCGTGATGATAAGGGATGTGGGGGAGGACCCTCTCTCTCCGGGGTTGCGTGACATAGAGAGAGAGATGGGCCAGAACTGCACTAGACACACGGTGGTTACGCCTTCTTTGTCCGGTATGTTGGTGTAGAGGCGAAGCGCTGAAGGTCAAAAACTTCCTTTACGACTAAGTTCAAGAAACGAGTGTTACCCGTCGCCAATTTTTAAACCAAGTTTAGGGAGGAGGGAGATTTACCCCCCTGTACTTCTCCCCTCTCGGCGGGATTGGAAAGAGAAACATTATCTTTATCAAGGCGCACGTACAAGAAATTCGCATTCAAAATAGTAAAATCAAAATCAAAATTAGCAAATCCTTTTTCTTTTCTTTTGAAAATATATTCAGCCTTACAAAATTTGCAGACCACGGTGTATTTTTTTTCGGGCGGGAATTTGTTACGTAATAAAACCAGAAGCGGGAAAATGTCATCACGTGAAAAATCATCCGAGGTGGATTTAACCAATCAGCTGCCGCTACGTCACTAGACTTTGAGTGACATCGTTTGTTGTTTTTGTAGTTTGTTCAGTTCGCTCTTCAACGGCAAACTGTTCAGGATGAACTTAAAATTTAATAAGAAAACATCAAGGAATTGATACTGGCAAAACACAGGGATCTATCTCTTTTTACTCAGGAATATGCTAAGGAGTTGTTCGAAGCTCAAGGAAACATCATTTATAAGGATATTTCACGAAAGTCCAAAGCTCCGCAGGATTTGATTTGTAGCGGAGCTCTCGCGCGCGCGAAGCGCGCGCTTGCGGAGCACCATGGGTAAGAAAATTTGGTAAACCATCCATCCGAGAAAATTTGGTTATGACGTAGAGTACGCCCACCCGTACACACACTTCATGTAAGCTGATGTCAACTGTCACATCTTGGAGAAATTGACATTTTGTAAGCCATCCGCATGAGGATGAATTGGCAGCTGTCAAAATCAGACATCCGCTGACAGTAATCACATGACCATCTCGCGGGCTCATATGAAAGATAAGTCGTTTTCTCTACATATAAGCTGATATAATATGTCACACCAACATAAAAATAAAAATGAAAGGAAACTTCGCTTTCACCAGGGCTGTCAGTTTAAAGTTATACGCACAAGCCAAATTAAGGTCAACTGACAGCTGTCAAAATGGGACATGTGAAGACCACTATCAGATCACTAACAACGTGGGCTCAAATACACGACATTTCGCCCCATTAATCCTCCATTACAACGACAGAGCGCAAAAACCGCCAGACATGCGCACTAGAGCTCTCGCCACTGTTTCTTGTATTCCCGCCTTTCGATTTTCAAAATGGCGGAGGACTAATCAGAATCTAACACGTCACTGCGGACGCTGCCAAGCCGCTGTCCTCGCTCTGAGAATTTTTCAACATCGTTAAACGGAATCTGTCAGCATTCAGCCATGTCTTGGCGACGCTAGCGAGAAGATCGGACTTAAACAGGTTCTCTAAAGCCGCGATGTTTGTGACCAGCTTCGGAGCCTATTTTGAAGCTTGTTGTTTCGAAGAAGGGCAGGTTTTTTACGTTTCTTAAGGTGGTCGCTCACTCTTTAAGGTCAGGAAAGAGAAATGTTCGAGGTAAATAGTTAATGCGAAACATATCAAATATGACTTTTTTTTCGTTTCTATGAAAATTTTTTAGAGCTCTTTAAAAGTGAACTATTGTTTCATGTCTTGAATGTCAAGGAAGGCTCGTTCAAGGCGAAGTTGGAAGAACTACAAGTATATTTACGTCATTTACCGCGTTGCTTCGCAATTTTTGTTTCTACTGACTGTGAAAGGAATTCGATTTGCAACTGGTTTTCACGAAAACTGAAATCTAGAACTTTGTAATCTCACATATATACATGCTATAAAAGTGGTTATCTGCAGAATTTTTTTAAGTAGTAAAGTTCGGGTGATGTACATTGTGTTTTTTGAGGCGCTAAATATAAATACACCTTGGTGACACTGAGTCGTTGTGATTGCTCACGTTGTTTTCTCAGCGAAATCACGGCTACAGTGCAGCTGGAAAAGTCATTCTTCTTCTAGTTTCAAACTGCAGCAAAGGCATTTTTTTATGGCATGTTTTATGTTTAAAAGGGGCCACGAGAACTAAGGAGCCGGTCAAGATTTAGGGAGTATGGGGGGTGGGGGCTAGGGAAAATTTTTCAAGGTTCTACAAAATGCCATGTAAATCTGTATTTCTGTTACAAATAAAGTACATCGAAAAATTTAAATTATTATGACAACTTAAAATTGGGGCCGGGGGGGAGGGGAAGGTAAAATTATATTACTATGCAATGAAAGGAAGCAGAGCGGGGGGAGGGAAGACTCCAAAAACAATTTTTAAAAAAATTTGAAAGAAATCAAAGACGAAAATAAAAAAGTCCACAAGAAACTTGAAGGTGGGTGCTTGTGGTTGAACATTTATTATTATGATCCAGACTATCTTTTAAAACACATTTCATCATCCACCCTCCCCCCTTCCTCCAAATAAAAGTTCACTTTCTTAACCTAAGTTTCATGGAACACTAAGCCACTGAGGGACTTGTCAGAAATTAGCAGGGGGGGAGGGGGTGGGAATTTTAAATTTGGGTTCGGAAATGAGATGACCCATCCCTGGAATGGGAGTGAAATTGGCTAACCCTCCCATTGACCTTGGCCTAAAATATCATGACCCCCCCACCCTCTTGTATAAATGATAAAATCTACTAGGGTGAGTCAGTCTTATGAAAGCTCAAAATATATTTCTAATCTGTTTTTGTAATGCCATATACATACATTTTAGATGACAGCATTAAGCTGAGTCCGACTCTGATTCTGACAGCTGATCACTGGACTCCTATTTCTCCCATTTTTTTTTACAAAATAAAGAACTTCTTTTTTTTTCTTCTGTGGGTGAACCTCTACATGATCACGGACACATATTTGCATGACCCTCCCCTTTTAACGGCCCATTTTTCATGATCCCTCCCTCTTCTGCAGTCTCAAAAGTTGTGACCCTCCTCTGTTTCCAACCCCCCCCCCCTGCTAATTTCTGACAAGTCCCTGAGGTGGAACAGGAAGTTATTAATCCATATAGTAACCTTTTCCATTTCACTGACCACAATAACGATCTGCTGTTTCTCAAACAATGGAATGGTGCAGTGATCAGCCCTCTCATAATATGTTGCATGCTCAGTCATTATTTTTAACCCATTTACTCCTCAGAATTTTGCAGAAAATTGTTTTTTGAAGCTAATTAAGCTGTTTTCTGGTCACTGCCTGGCTACAATAAGCAAAAATACTGTTTGTGAGTTGAGCACTTCACAGAGCCTTCTGTTCCAGATGCAAAGTATCAGCTTCCAACATTTGATCATGCTCAGATAGAAAAATTTCAAGCTATTTTTAGGTTTAAGAGTGACACAGCAGTCTTGACGTTTTTTTCCGCTTCTTCTCCTCCCATTGACAGGAAATGTTTTGGGAAAGCTTCTAGGATCATAGGATTAGATAGAAGGATGTGTAAGTGAGTAGTGGAACAAGATTTCAAGGGGAATGGGTTTATAGTTAAGCAGTAAATGTTGTGATGGGTTGGTTACAGTAAGTGACATCCCAAACTTGTTGTGTTCCTATTACTTGGGGAAAGCAACCAGTGATAAATTCATTAAAAACTTTAAAAAAAAATACACAAGTGTGGCTACTGATTTCAGAGCCCAAAATAATAACTTCACTGGTAGATATTTTCACTTGTCAAAGTTTTATTGTATTGACCCCATGACAAACAATAACAAAACCAATGAATTATTGCTCATGGAGTTGCACTGTTCACCATCTTTCAGAGTAGCGTACAATATGACCTGCACCCGCCCATTAGTTGACAGTAAAATTATAACTTCAGAGAGATTATGTTCCATGTGGTTACCTGCCTGAGGTTATCACTATTATCCCAACAAAGTCATACAGCATAAGAAGCTTTTCATGGAGAACTCAACTCAGCAAACATGCTTTACAAGAAAGTGCAAATGTAAATCGTGTATAAAAGAAATGAGTTTGACTACCCTGTGTGCACTAGTGTAGGCATTTACTGCATGGTTGACCAAAATATTCTTGGACTGAAAGGACTGAAAGCCGATGTCATGTTAATAAACTTGAAGCTTGTATTTGTAACTCAGGTAATGTATGCTAATAAAGTTGAAACAAAAGAAAAAATAAAAATTATCTGAGATAAAAAATTAACTGCAATATATACCGTATTTATTCGATTAACCGCCCCAGGGGCTTACTAAATTTTTGGACCTTGAGAGTGGCCGCTAATTTGAGGTGGGCGCTAATTTGAGGTGGGCGCTTATCCGAGGCTGGGCGCTTATTAAATTTTCAACATTTTCAGCAAGTGCAGTATGTTTATTTTGCAACAAAACAATAAATAGCAACCAAACACGAAGATGTAACAAAGCAAGGCTCCTGTAAAATACTTTGAAGAAAACTCCATCTTTGGGGAAGTCTCTTATTAGTACTCATTCAATTTTTTGAGGGTGGGGTGGGGGTAGTTGCTTATTTGAGTTTGAGTGGGAGGGAGTTGGGGTGGGCGCTTATTAACTTTTTCTGCCTTTAGGATGGGCGCTTATTCGAGATTGGACGCTTATTTGAATAAATACGGTATGTCAAATATAGCTTCAGGCAGAAGGTATTGAAACTCTTTCCAGGAAAGAAATTTTTGTTCAAAATCTCAAATTTTTCTTTGTAACACCATTAATATTTAACTCATTGACTGGCAAACAGTTTTGTTCATTGAAATCCTCTACTGAGCCCCAGGGGGGCTTATTCATTTCAAACACACAACAGGGGAGGGGGCTTACTTGAGAGGGGGAGCTTATGTAATTTAGCAAAGACAATGGTATCAGTTCTCCATAAAGGACTAGAATACAAAGTGGAAAAGCTGAGGATCATAAACAAATCCGAACTTTCAGTTGGTGAATGAACCATCCTGGATCGGTCCACATGAAATCACAGTTGTGATTGACTAATACAGTCTACCATTTATTAATCAGTGAAGAATATAAAGGGGAAGGGGAACTTATTTGAGGGTGGGGGGTTAAAAGAGGATTTACAGTATTTACATTTGATGTTCATTTCATGAATGTGTTTTCATTATGTTACATCTGTTTGACACAAAGGAGCACATTTAGTTACTGTAGCATACTTTGAGAACCAAACTTAAACGCAGTGGTTATTATTATGTGATAAGTAAGTATTATACACATTTCCGGGTGATGTTTGGCAGAAAGACTGTCCAGTGCAAAAACAAACACCTGATAGCAGGTTATCATCATGACAAGCAATTATCTCAGTGCAAAAGGAGACAATATTCAGCACTCTTGTACATCTCAATAATACAAGTCATTGGTCCATCATTACACAAAAGAAGAAAAGTATTAATTTTATCCTAATGAAATAGAACATTTCTGCAGTGAGCACGATCCTGGCGTGAATTAAGATATATTGTTTTATTCCATTTTACAACAGTGAAAAATAATTTTCATCAATCAAGAAATCTAATCTGAAGAGAATTAGGGTAGTTGCCCTTCTATACAACCTCAGCTCTTAGAAATCAGGTTAATGGTTTCTGTTTCCTACAACAAAAGAAGTAATAAAATGATTATGGTAGATGTACAGCTTGTTTTATAAGAAATATTATTTTTCAAAACACTTAGAAGAAAAAAATCTACAATGACAGAACAAATAAAAATTAGTTACTACAAATAACAAACAGCAAAAGAAACGAGCTTCATACATGTAAACAATCATCCACATGCTAAAACATTATTTGTAGCATGCTGTAAAATGTCTAACAAACACCTGATAGCAGGTTATCATCATGACAAACAAACAACCTCAAGAGTTTGGATTCTCACCTGTTTGCCTGTGTACGACGAGGACGATGATGATGACCCTGATATGAAACTTTTGTATCTCTACGACTCAAATGTGAATCAGAATTCAAAGGAAGAAAAGTGGGACGCTTTAATTTGAAATCAAAGCTATGACAGCTGTTCGACCACGCGAAGTTCATGAAACAAGACGATTCTGGCCAGCCAAACGCATTTTCAAAATATGGACAATCAAAGCTGAAAGCCTTTGGGTACAATCAATAGCAAGTTCCCTGTAGCTGTTCCTGTGGGCAAGGGTGTAATCCGATGTCAGTTTGCTGAAAACTGAAATATGCTCGAAGGATTTGCAATATAAACACTCGATGTTTACATACGGTGGACATCCCAAACGGCGCTTTCAGTAACTTCACGCACAAAGTTTTGAAGGCAATTAAACAGTAGGTTTCATTTAAGGTTTCTTGCTATATTTGATTATTTCTTTTTCTACCAACAGCAGTCTTGTAGGTCCTTGTAGTTTAGCATCGCTCTCTCACGCTCAGCCGCCATGCTCGATCTTTAATTTTCCCAGGTTTGCGCAGGCGCAGTTACGCAAAACAGGCTAAATTACGTCATTATCCACTAGCCAATCAGCGGTTTTTGCGCTCTGTCCATTACAACCCTGACTAACACTCGCAGTCAACAGTACGTTTATTTGAAAATTCGCCATTCTAATGAAGTCCAATTGACAGCTTTCAAACTACAGCATCCGCTGACCATCAGCACCTGACCGTGTCGCGGGCTCAGGTATCGGTCCACTTAGTTCGAGGTTTTTTGAAGTTATCCGCTGATAAGTTACTACTTTTCCAATGATTGCAAGCTCAAGTTCAATTTTTTTAACGCGTAGGAAATAGGAAGTTGTGTTTATGAGTCGCACTATTAAACTTTTAATTTCAAACTGACCTCGGACGCGAGAATTCAGCCAGCTTTTACAGACAGGGAAGTTGCTTTCGACCTTTCTCACCATGGTCACGCGTTGGTCACGCTCTACGTCCAATTTTTATGCTCTGATTGGTCAAAATTTGACAGGTGAGTTCATGCGGAAAATTTATGCAGCATCTTGAAACTTGTTTACTGATAGCTGAAACTGACGGAGTATTGTGTATAAACGTTGTGAAGCTTTTAGCTGTCTTTTTCTACTGGATGCACAAAATGAAATACAGATGCTGGCAAGATTCTTAAGTAATTCATGGCTTGTTTGTTTATTGGTTTTTTGGTTTAGAAATGCGCCGCTTGTCAAAGTCATCGGAAATCCGATTTCGGATGGATCGCTTTTACTCACTTCCCCTTGCTTGATGCGTATTATAAAGAGGGTTCAAAAAAGTCTCATGCGATTCTGACGGCCTTCAGGAGCATCTTGACTGGTTAGCCTGTGTTATTATTGTATTTGATGTGTCTTTTTTCCGGTTTCCTAAAGTCGAGCGTAGTTTCTGCACCTAGTTTATACACAAGACAATGATCTGACCTACAACAGCATCAGGTTTGACATAACCTTACAGATTTTAAAAAGTCTTTAATAACATTTTCTGTCCACAAATACAAAGAAAACGTTCAGAAGAATACAATTTATTTAGTTGTGCTTTTGGCTGTAAACAGAAAGCTCTGAGCTATATTCTTGCCTTGCGGTTCATCTTGAAGTAAACACCGCGAAGCCGGCTTAAATCTGCAAGGTTTTTGAACTTTATGAGCTTATGCTTATGATTTTCAGAGACACTTACTCTCAAAACTTATCGCCGTGAATGAAAATTGTTGTCTCTGTACATGTTTCACCGAGTTATATTTATTTTACTGATGGTTAGTAGTCTCTTTCTCAATTTAATCGGCGCGCAGGTTGTTTTCAGTCGAACGAAAAACAAAACATCGCACACAGGAGTACTCAAAATGCTGCTCGTAAATATCACATAACAAAACCATAAATAAAGGGAAATAAAACCTAAACATAATAAGTTCTCTATCATGTTGAAGCTTAAATGTTCGTACAAGCGGCTCCGACGCCTCGAACTGCAAATTTGGTGCTTGACAACAGTGAGAAACCGTCCGGCTGGCCGTATAGGTAATTTTGGGAATTTCTTGATCGTTCTCACTAGAAGCCCATTATTATATTACTCTACATATCACATAGGAGCAGATTTTTCCGACTAAACAGTCCCGGTATTATGGAAAATTCTCTTGATGAAAACGTTTTATAATGTGGTCAATTCTATAATTTTTTGCTCAAAGGTAATTCGAAGCGCGTGCTTCGATCGTCCTGGATATTGAATGAGCGCAATTTGTGTAGCAAAATTGGGAAAAACTGCAGAATTATAGGTTTAAATAGGGCAAGGAAAAACAAATTTTGTTCGAGGTCTGTATGATCAAAAACAGGCACACAGGCATAGCACTGTTTTCCTTTTCCACTGCTCTAAGCCAATCAAATTGCAGAAATTTCTCATATAGTGGTATAAACTTGTAAAGTAAACCTGTCGAACACAAATCTTTTTCGAAACACAAAAAGACCGGCCTGATTTTTTTTTCTTTTGGCCTTTCCTTTAGACAGAGAATGGAACGTGTAAATTGGCTGCAACCGAGGACTCTCTTGTGTTGCATAAAATTATGTTTCGGGGATATCCAGTTATCTCTATAGTCTCTCCAGCGGAGTGGCTGGAGAGACTATGAATTAACCTTATCAAATAAAGGCAGTGTAGGCGGGTGACTGGGTTTAACTTCTTTTGTTTGGGAAGAATTTGTTTTCTAGGCCTAATCTACTGTGATCGAAGAAGATTGCTATTTTTCGGTGTACATATAACAGACTATTAACTCGATGTAAAATTTGTTTCACTCTTGGACTGTCAAATTATTCTTCTCTAAGGAATCACTTTCCCTTAAAATGTTGCATGAATGTACCTTAAAGTTAAATGATTAATGTTTACTGTTTTATTTAAATTATTAATTTATTAACGTGAGCTTCGCTTTTAGCCCTGGCTAAATCTATATATTATGGCGAGTGTTCTTGGAAAATTGAAAACAAGCTCATGCTATTTACGCGATGAAAATCATGCAATGGACACTTATGCTATACCGCGGAGAACAGCGAAGTGTTTACTTGTAAGGAAATTTTTTTGGTGTTGCTTTCAACCGTTGTCTCGGAGATACAATTTTTTTCTGCGGGTTGTTATTTCAAAAACCAACACTTCACCGAACTGAAAGGACCAGTATTTACCAAAGAAACGCTCAAGAACTAACAAACAAAAGAACAGCTATGAAAAAGAATTGTTTGTTTTTTGGACTTTCGAAAGAACTTCACTTGACTTAAAATGTTCTTATAGGAGCCTTGGACGATAAATGTGAAACTGTGAGTTCAATGTGTTTACTCTTTGCTTATTTGTTTGAACTGAACATGAACTGAACATGAACTGAACATCTTTCATTTGCTTTTATGATTGTTGTTTGTTACTTTATGAAAAGGTATGAATTAAAATTGATTCAGAAATTAATACTGTGGAAATTATGTGCTTTTGTTTTGCTGGAAGTTCTTGTTTTCACCCAATAATATCATCTTATGGCTACTTGAAGATACGAAATTTCTCTTTTTGTGTTCAACTCCATGTGTTAATATCAGCTGAAGTTACTTGTTCTTAACGTTCTCAGTTAAAACATTTTATGGAGTTAGTTTAATCAGTTGAAAGAAATGAATTTGAAATGATACTTTGAATCTGCTAAAGTTTGTGATTTGATTTCAAAAGCAAATCTCGTGTTTTGTCGAGTATGAAAATGACAAAGAAAGGAAAATGGCGAAAGGCAAGAGCTGAGTAGAAATAAACTGTAAACAAAGAATAAAGAAACAAATTGCGATAAAATTGGAAAACTTACGTGGTAGAATGACCACAGTCTAGTGTTGTTTCCGTGCTGCTGTACAGCTGATGAGAGATCCATCACCTGCTGTGGAGTCATCTTCACACCTCTAAGGCCCAGTTCCTCCAGGTGAGGAGCGCAGCTGAGATGTTTTATCAAGCTGTCGACTCCTGCACCCAGAAGAGGATTGTATGGCATGTAGAGCTCCTTCAAGTTTGGAAGATCTTGTTTGAATACTCTGCTGATGAACTCCACAGCAGGTGATGATGTTATATTGATATAACAGAGTGCTAATTTGTTCAGTTTGTGTGTTGTTGGGATGCTCCTCAGTAGAGACTCTGTTAACTCAGCATCGTACACTTCACCGGGTTCACCCCCAACCCATATCTCGTGTGGAGCGGTGATAAACGGCATGATCTCAATCATCAGTTCCACATCTGACCTGTTCACATACCAAGCTGCAATCCTCCGAACCCTGGAGAGACCATGACGCTTTGAACAACAGCTGCTGCTGCTCTCTTCACTTGACTCATCACCATTCATGTTTGTCTTCTTTGTTGTCTCTTCTACACTAACTAACGTCTTTACCATTTTAAAAGGAAGAGGTTTTACAATTTCAGTAAAATAAAGGTGAGTGTTGTTTTCTTCTTTCATTAAAAAAAACTCGTTTACTCTACGCCATGGAAATACATTCAAAAATTCTGATGCTTTCTGTTCTCCTGTTCTACTAACTATAACAGCGTTTAATTGCTGTACTAAAGTTATTAAATGATTATAACTTTGCTCTGTATACCGGCGGCTTTCAGAGAAAAATATGTACATAAGTGAAGCGGCAGTTTTAACAAAATTTTCCTTTGCTGCAATATTCAGCTGGTCAGGATTTAAAATGAACAAAACACCTCCTAGATTGGAAAGAAAAGTGGGGAAAATTTCTGTTCTCGTGTCTGCTGAGCAGTAGAAGAATAACTGTGTACATAGAGTAAGAAGATTTTTTTGTTCATTAGACAAATCTTCGAGTGACGGTGCTTGGTTGTCGAAGCTGTACTCTCCGTCTTCCTTCGCCGCCATTTCCAACAGATAAATCAAGATCTCGCGCGCGGCTTCTTCTGACATTTCAGCAGCAAATTTAAAAACTTCATTCAACTTGAAGATCTTTTCAATTGAGTCGACTTTGAAAAGGGAATTGTTTTTACTTTCTTGAGATAACAGTTCTTCTTTTAGAAATAAAGAAGCCAAAAACTCCTGCATGGATTTATGAATGAAGTGCACGGCTTTACACGGGTTAAGAGCAGACATGTTTAGCAGCTGAAACAACCCGGTCTCGATCAGTTTCTCAGTCAAAACGTGATCCGGCAGTTTATTGAGAGGAAAATAAAGTAAATCTTGTAGAAGTGCGTCAAAGGCTAGTTCTCCTAGTTTACAGAGTTCTTGTTTGTGATCGTCAACTTTTTCCGCCGGCTTTTTTTGTTTTTCCGACATATGATTAAACATAGTCTGTAAAAACTGAAAGTACACCATCGCCCGTGATGAAGGTAGTCCTTCACGATCCTTTTCCTTCCAAACTAAAGACAGCATTAAAAGTACAATAGGTATTTTTGCTATATCCTGCAGGTCTTGTTGCTCCAAGTATTCAAAAAACTCTTTAACATCTTGATCATCTTTCAAGAATCTACGGGCGAACTCTTCTTGTCGCTCACGGTCAAAACCGTCGATCTCAAATTGAGCATCGCTGGAACTTTTCAATCCCTCTCCTTTCATGTCTCTAGATGTTACAATAACACAACAATCCCTCAACTGTTTTTTCTCCCAGATTTGAAGAACAGGTGATTGGCTTGCTGCGCTGTGTACGTATTCATCGTAGCCGTCCAAAATAAGCAACACTTTTTCTTGGTGGTGACGAACGTAATGGTACAGGTTGTCAGTGGAAATTGGGCCATCACTCGCGAGAAGATTAGCATTCCTCAGAATGGTTGGGACATTGTTGAGGTTACAAACATCGCATAATTTGACCAAAAGTACGAGATCAAATGTTCCTAGCTTTCCTTCAAATCTCTGCTGGGACCAGTCGAATGTAGCTTTCTGCGTAAAAACGGTCTTGCCGATACCTGGTCGTCCGTGAACCAAAATGCGCTTAGGCGTATGATGAAGTCTTCCGCCGTCAAAAATGTCGGTATAGTGTTCAAGCTCCTTCTGTGTTACTCCGCTGGCATCCTTCAAATCCATAAGCCAAGACAACTGGGTGTAAACTTTGTCAATGTGAACGGCAGAGCTTTGGTCCCAAGGAACGATTTTGACTTTGCTGTTGGTTTCATAAATTGATCGCAGCTGTTTCTGGCACTCCTTGAGGCAGAGAGAATCTGTTAAAGAAAATTTTACGTTCCTTTTTTAAAGAATTGTTCGTTAATAACTTGATATCTTAATAGGCGAAGAAAGTTAAAGGGAGGTAGTCGACGAACAAAATATAGGCCCTCATTTATATAAACTGATCAGATCACCAAGTATAAATAAAATTTCCATATTTACAGTCAAGCCAGGTGAAGCGTTCTTCCCAAGAATCGATTAATGAATTGATAATTCCCCAACTACGCCCCCTGACACAAATAAAACACAATTCGCTTTTTGGCACGGAGAAAAGTTTATTAAGGATACGAACAAAAAGTAAACAACAGCCAACGATATGCCTAATAAACCTCTCTGCCACCCTTTAACATCAAATAAAATCACCCAGGGTGGGTGGGTCGGAAGAAGAAACGAAACAGTACGGTGCAAAACCCTGGTATACGCTCGAGGTAAAAACTGACTCGAAAATGAAACACGAAACTCCTATCACCTGATACTAAAGCGTGTGTGTTGCGCAATTAATCCCTTTGAACACGTGCTTGTCCAAAGGAGGCATATTTGAAAAATGAATCAGTTAGTCGTTCCCGTAACTGGTGTCAAATTCAAAGCGGCATTCCTGCATGCGTAATAAGAACTAAATATTTTACGAGAACTTCTCTGTATTTGGTCAGATTGAAAATCTTTGAATGGATTAAGTTTCTTAGAAGACATTTACATCAAATTCAGGAATACTGAGCTGATAGAAATTTCATAACTACCTTGCGGGTGAATTCACAGCTCATTACGCATGCAAGATCATTCTGAAATCTATAACTAGCAACGGATTCAACTTTCCAATAATCAATTCATTAATAGAATCTTGGGGGTACGTTGGACCTCCCTTGACTGTAAAAACAAATTATCCTCAACTCATTATACACCAACAGAAATGTAACTAACAGTGCGTGTAGATATCTGGGCTCTAAAACCAGAACATAGTGTTGGAATATAAATACTACGGTCAAACGTAGAAGGAATGCTCTTTATTAATTTAATTTATTAATTCATTTATCTATTCTATTTTCTTCTTTTTCACCTGCTTATACACACTGACTTTAATAAGGATGGGGAATTAACTAGAAAATCTAACAGTTTATTTAGCTTCCCAGCTCGCAGTTATTATTTCTCTTATATTATAAAGTTATAACCTAGCACAAATTTCAGTTATAAAAAAGTTAAAAATGTAATTTCACCGTGAGCTAAAGAAAGAATTATTAATTATTACAATTATAAATTATGAATATGGCGGAATGGGCAGCCTTGGCCGAGCAAAATTTATATGTAAATGTCTTTGAAGACTGCATCAGTAAAGCAAGTAAAAGGGGCGTTACCCCACAAAGAGAGGTTCAGGGAGGAGAAACCAATAGAGGGCTACCTCTCCAAAGCTGTTAGTGACGTTTGTGGTTGAGTGCTAAAAATAATTCTTATTTTTTATAACTGAGCTCGAGGATTAGCGCAGGTTAAAAATACCTTAGCAAAATTCTAACAGAAAAATTGAATGAGAAAAAGGATTTGACACTTGAAGTATCACATCATACTTCTTCTTTGCTACTTATTTCAGAAATAAATATAAACAACTGCGACCATAAAGATCATTTTGTATTGCAATATAAAAAACGATAAAAGTCATTTTCATATTAAAGTAAGCATTTTTAATCTACTGTATGTCTGGTACCATTTCTGCTTTATTGAATATAATAACAGTACCTGGTAACTCCTCCTTAGTGGCCGTAGAGCTAGAGGGCTGTTTCCCTGCTGACAGGTCTGTGAGTTAAACAAAATAGAATAAAAATTGAAGTGAGACATTTAAAACAACAGCTATTCAAAAGTATTTGGGGATGTTCATCAATCTGTCAGTTTTTTTACTGCTCACATTTTAGTTTCTGGGTCTGAATAATAAAGTTTTAATAACAAAAAGCACTGAGCAGCTCGTCTCGGGACTGAAAGTTTACATCTTAGCTTTTACTGAATTGTGGGTGATACTGACATTTTAATTCACTAAATGATGCCTGGTTGCAGTGTGCACAATTTTAGACAATAAATTTATGTTTTAAACTTGGTTATGCAGGATTTCAGCTGCACACTGAGTTGATTCTGAAAGGGATCTAGTAAGCAGTTGCAGTTCAAAACCATTTTCAAAACAGGAAAAAAACAAAACAAAATATTTCCTGGGCCTTTCCAACCAATCAGAGGGTAGAGTTCTAGAATGATCTAATACCAGAACATAAAGCCAGTAGAGCAGAGAGCTTACTGGTTAGAGTTCAAGGCTGTCACTATGGTTTCAAGTTTCAGAGCAGGGAATAGAACATCCTGAAAATTCTTTCTATTTTCCTCTTATTTCCTATGAATAAAGTAACCAGGGGTCATGCTCATAGCAGCCAGGGGAAATCCACACCTCCCGGCCATTAGTGACAGCCCTGTAAAGTTGATCACTAGTGTCCTCAGGGCGTGGTGGGGGAAGGCGGGGAAGAAGAAGATACTACCCTATTAAACAACTGGTGCTCATCAAATAAAAAATTCAAAAGTATCCACAGAAGGTATCGGAATATTGCTTTGTCAGCATGGAAGAAATTCATTTTTTTAAGATCTATAAGAGGTACCAAAAAGAGGAGGGGATACTTCCCTGCTGTGAACCTTGAAGAATTAATAGATAGAAGACAAAGTTTAGTAGCTGGTTACTGTCAGGGAGCTGTTGTGATTCTCACATACAATGAGTTAGTAATCTCTTATTCACCTGTAACAGAACTTGTGCTTGGGCCAGCTTGCTCAACCCTTCCAGATGGACCTTGAAATACAACAACAATTAATTAGTCATTTCACCAGTGTCTTGTTCACAACTATGTTGTTAAATGAATTGCTTTTTTGGAGACAATGAACTGGATCAAATGCTTTTTGTCTTGCTGTAGGAGATTCATGAATCTTTTAATAAATCTTCAAAATAAACCATTTTTTGAATTTTCCTCAGCTGTTTGTAATTTTAATATAATTTAACAATGAGTACCGGCATCTTTATACCAATGACAAAATGTGTACATGACATACCATACCATGGTTGCACTCATGAAACAAACTCAAGTTCAAGTTCAAGTTTAGTATTTACTGGTGACATTATAAACAGCAGGAACTTGAGTTGCAGGGACCACGTCCCCTGCTCTTTATGAACTAACAGTGTGTGGGTTCTTTAATGTCTCACGGAATTTTTATATACATGTATGATGGTTATTATGATTTACAAGTATTGTCCTTGATGGCCAGAAGACTAGAAAGTCTAACCATTTGCAGCTGTCATAAAAAAGGCAGCACTTTCTTCACAGTTATGTATTATTTCGCTTCCCAGCTCTCACTTATTATTTCTCTTATATTATAAAGTATAACCTAGCACAAATTTCAGTTATGAAAAAGTTAAAAATGTAATTTCACCATGAGCTAAATAAAGAATCATTAATTCTTACAATTACAAATTATGAATATGGTGGAATGGGCAGCCTTGGCCGAGTAACATTTATATGTAAATGTCTTTGAAGACTGCATCAGTAAAGCAAGTGAAAGGGGTGTTACCCCACAAAGAGAGGTTCAGGGAGGAGACACCAATAGAGGGCTAGCTGTCCAAAGCCGTTAGGGACGTTTGTGGTTGAGTGCTAAAAATAATTCTTATTTTTTATAACTGGCCTCGAGGATTAACGCAACTTAAAAATACCTTAGCAAAATTCTAACAGAAAAATTGAATGAGAAAAAGAATATGATGCTTGAAGTATCAATTCATACTTCTTTGCTACTTATTTCTGAAATAAATATAAACAACTGTGACAATAAAGATCATTTTGTATTGCAATATAACAAACGATAAAAGTCATTTTCATATTCAAGCAAGCGTTTTTAATCTACTGTATGTCTGGTACCATTTCTGCTTTATTGGATATAATAGTACCTGGTGACTCCTCCTTGGTGGCCGTAGAGCTAGAGGGCTGTTTCCTTGCTGACAGGTCTGTGAGTTAAACAAAATAGAATAAAAATTGAAGCAAGACATTTAAAACAACAGTTATTCTAAAGCATTTGGGGATGTTCATCAATATGTCAGTTTTTTTACTGCTCACATAGTTTTTGGGTCTGAATAATAAAGTTTTTATAACAAAAAGCACTGAGCAGCTTGTCTTGGGACTGAAAGTTTTACTGAATTGTGGGTGATACTGACATTTTAATTCACTAAATGATGTCTGGTAGCAGTGTGCACAATTTTAGACAATAAATTTATGTTTTAAACTTGGTTATGCAGGATTTCAGCTGCACACTGAGTTGATTCTGAAAGGGATCTAGTAAGCAGTTGCTATGCAGTTCAAAAACATTTTCAAAACAGGAAAAAAAACAAAGCAAAATGTTTCCTGGGCCTTTCCAACCAATCAGAGGGTAGAGTTCTAGAATGATCTAATACCAGAACATAAAGCCACTAGAGCAGAGAGCTTGCTGGTTAGAGTTCAAGGCTGTCACTATGGTTTCAAGTTTCAGAGCAGGGAATGGAACATCCTGAAAATTCTTTCGGTCCTATTTTCCTTTTATTTCCTATGAATGTAACCAAGGGTCATGCTCATAGCAGCCAGGGGAAATCCACGCCTCCTGGCCCTTAGTGACAGCCCTGTAAAGTTGGTCACTAGTGTCCTCAGGGCGTGGTGGGGAAAGGCGGGGGAGAAGGATATACTACCCTATTAAACAACTGTGGTGTTGGTCAAATAAAAAATTCCAAAGTATCCCCAGAATGTATCGGAATCTTGCTTTGTAAGCATGGAAGAAATTCACTTTTTTAAGATCTATAAGAGGTACCAAAAAGAGGAGTACATACTTCTCTGCTGTGAACCTTGAAGAATTAATAGATAGAAGACAAAGTTTAGTAGCTGGTTACTGTCAGGGAGCTGTTGTGATTCTCACATACAATGAGTTAGTAATCTCTTATTCACCTGTAACAGAACTTGTGCTTGGGCCAGCTTGCTCAACCCTTCCAGATGGACCTTGAAATACAACAACAAATAATTAGTCATTTCACCAGTGTCTTGTTCACAACTATGTTGTTAAATGAATTGCTTTTTTGGAGACAATGAACTCCGGGATCAAATGCTTTTTGTCTTGCTGTAGGAGATTCATGAATCTTTTAACAAATCTTCAAAATAAACCATTTTTTGAATTTTCCTCAGCTGTTTGTAATTTTAATATAATTTAACGATGAGTACCGGCATCTTTATACCAAGGACAAAATGTGTACATGACATACCATACCATGGTTGCACTCATGAAACAAACTCAACTTCAAGTTCAAGTTTAGTGTTTACTGCCGACATTATAAACAGCAGCTGGAACTTGAGTTGCAGAGACCATGTCCCCTGCTCTTTATGAACTAACAGAGTGTGGGTTCTTTAATGTCTTACGGAATTTTTATATACAGGTATGATGGTTATTATGATTTACAAGTATTGTCCTTGATGGCCAGAAGACTAGAAAGTCTAACCATTTGCAGCTGTCATAAAAAAGGTAGCACTTTCTTCACAGTTATGTATATTTAGCTTCCCAGCTCGCACTTATATATTATTTCTCTTATACTATAAAGTTATAACCTAGCACAAATTTCAGTTATAAAAAAGTTGAAAATGTAATTTCACCGTGAGCTAATTAAATAAAGAATCATTAATTATTACAATTACAAATTATGAACATGGTAAGATGGGCAGCCTTGGCCGAGTAACATTTATATGTAAATGTCTTTGAAGACTGCATCAGTAAAGCAAGTGAAAGGGGCGTTACCCCACAAAGAGAGGTTCAGGGAGGAGACACCAATAGAGGGCTATCTGTCCAAAGCCATTAGTGACGTTTGTGGTTGAGTGCTAAAAATAATTCTTATTTTTTATAACTGCCAGTGGCCTCGAGGATTAATGCAGGTTAAAAATACCTCAGCAAAATTCTAACAGAAAAATTGAATGAGAGAAAGAATTTGATGCTTGAAGTATCACATCATACTTCTTCTTTGCTACTTATTTTTGAAATAAATATAAACGACTGCGACAATAAAGATCACTTTGTGTTGCAATATAACAAACCATAAAAGTTATTTTTATATGAAAGTAAGCCTTTTTAATCTACCGTATGTCTGGTACCATGTCGGCTTTATTGGATATAATAGTACCTTGTAACTCCTCCTTAGTGGCCGTAGAGCTAGAGGGCTGTTTCCTTGCTGACGGGTCTGCAAGTTAAACAAAATAGAAAAGAAATTGAAGTGAGACATTTAAAACATGGGTTGTTCAAAAGTATTTGGGGAAAATGTTTATCAATCTGTCAGTTTTTTTACTACTCACATTTTAGTTTCTGGGACTAAATAATAAAGTTTCAATAACAAAAAGCACTGAGCAGCTTGTCTTGGGACTGAAAGCTTACATCTTAGCTTTTACTGAATTGTGGGTGATACTGACATTTTAATTCACTAAATGATGTCTGGTTGCAGTGTGCACAATTTTAGACAATAAATTTATGTTTTAAACTTGGTTATGCAGGATTTCAACTGCACACTGAGTTGATTCTGAAAGGGATCTAAGTAAGCAGTTGCAGTTCAAAAACATTTTCAAAACAGGAAAAAAATATATATGTGTATATATTTCCTGGGCCTTTCCAACCAATCAGAGGGTAGAGTTCTCGAAAGATCTAAAACCAGAACATAAAGCCAGTAGAGCAGAGAGCTTACTGGTTACTAGTTCAAGACTGTCATAGCCTGTGTACAGACGTCCCCCCCTCCCTCAGAAAAGATCGGGAGAAGAGCAAGTAAGACATGCTAGAAATTTACGGTCATCAAGTACCATAAATCTAGTTATTCCCTATGCCTCGGACACTTTTCAGTATAGCGCGGCAGCCCTCTTCAATTCTCTGCCATCCAATGTTAAATGCTGTGATAATTTTAAATCCTTCAGTAAGCAAGCATTATCTATTTTAAGGGAGTGCTGCCAGAAGAGGGCGCAATAATTTCTTGCATAGTTTTAAATAATGTATATATTGTATTAATTATTTTTACTTTTTATTACCTAGCTTTTTTTACAAATTCATAATTCAGATTCATGTATTTTTTTTCCTTTTAAATTCCTTATTTTAATCTTATATCAGGCGAAGAGCCATACAATGGATGTACTGATATTAAACCGTTATTATTATTATTATTATTATTATTATATGTAAATGTCTTTGAAGACTGCATCGGTAAAGCAAGTGAAAGGGGCGTTACCCCACAAAGAGAGGTTCAGGGAGGAGACACCAATAGAGGGCTAGCTGTCCAAAGCCGTTAGTGACGTTTGTGGTTGAGTGCTAAAAATAATTCTTACTTTTTATAACTGGCCTCGAGGATTAACACAAGTTAAAAATACCTTAGCAAAATTCTAACAGAAAAATTGAATGAGAAAAAGAATTTGGTACTTGAAGTATCAATTCATACTTCTTTGCTACTTATTTCTGAAATAAATATAAACAGCTGTGACAATAAAGATCATTTTGTATTGCAATATAACAAACGATAAAAGTCATTTTCATATTCAAGCAAGCATTTTTAATCTACTGTATGTCTGGTACCATTTCTGCTTTATTGATAGAATAGTACCTGGTGAGTCCTCCTTAGTGGCCGTAGAGCTAGAGGGCTGTTTCCCTGCTGACAGGTCTGTGAGTTAAACAAAATAGAATAAAAATTGAAGCGAGACATTTAAAACAATAGTTATTCTAAAGAAATGGGGATGTTCATCAATGTGTCAGTTTTTTTACTGCTCACGTAGTTTCTGGGTCTGAATAATAAAGTTTTTAATAACAAAAAGCACTGAGCAGCTTGTCTTGGGACTGAAAGTTTTACTGAATTGTGGGTGATACTGACATTTTAATTCACTAAATGATGTCTGGTCGCAGTGTGCACAATTTTAGACAATAAATTTATGTTTTAAACTTGGTTATGCAGGATTTCAGCTGCACACTGAGTTGATTCTGAAAGGGATCTAGTAAGCAGTTGCAGTTCAAAAACATTTTCAAAACAGGAAAAAAAACAAAGCAAAATATTTCCTGGGCTTTTCCAACCAATCAGAGGGTAGAGTTCGAATGATCTAATACCAGAACATAAAGCCACTAGAGCAGAGAGCTTGCTGGTTAGAGTTCAAGGCTGTCACTATGGTTTCAAGTTTCAGAGCAGGGAATGGAACATCCTGAAAATTCTTTTGGTCCTATTTTCCTTTTATTTCCTATGAATGTAACCAAGGGTCATGCTCATAGCAGCCAGGGGAAATCCACACCTCCCGGCCCTTAGTGACAGCCCTGTAAAGTTGGTCGCTAGTGTCCTCAGGGCGTGGTGGGGGGAGGCGAGGGAGGAGGATATACTACCCTATTAAACAACTGTGGTGCTCGTCAATTAGAAAATTCAAAAGTATCCCCAGAAGGTATCGGAATCTTGCTTTGTCAGCATGGAAGAAATTCATTTTTTTAAGATCTATAAGAGGTACCAAAAAGAGGAGGAGATACTTCCCTGTTGTGAACCTTGTAGAATTAATAGATAGAAGACAAAGTTTAGTAGCTGGTTACTGTCAGGGAGCTGTTGTGATTCTCACATACAATGAATTAGTAATCTCTTATTCACCTGTAACAGAACTTGTGCTTGGGCCAGCTTGCTCACCCCTTCCAGATGAACCTTGAAATACAACAACAAATAATTAGTCATTTCACCAGTGTCTTGATGTTCACAACTTATGTTGTTAAATGAATTGCTTTTTTGGAGACAATGAACTGGATCAAATGCTTTTTGTCTTGCTGTAGGAGATTCATGAATCTTTTAATAAATCTTCAAAATAAACCATTTTTTGAATTTTTCTCAGCTGTTTGCAATTTTAATATAATTTAACAATGAGTACAGGCATCTTTATACCAAATGACAAAATGTGTAAATGACATACCATATCATGGTTGCACTCATGAAACAAACTCAAGTTCAAGCTCATGTTTAGTGTTTACTGACGACATTATAAACAGCAGGAACTGGAGTTGCAGGGACCACATCCCCTGGTCTTTATGAACTAACAGTGTGTGGGTTCTTTAATGTGTCACGGAATGTTTATATACATGTATGATGGTTATTATGATTTACAAGTATTGTCCTTGATGGCCAGAAGACTAGAAAGTCTAACGATTTGCAGCTGTCATACAAAAGGCAGCACTTTCTTCACAGTTATGTTTATTTAAAGATCCTGATCTTACAGCTGTACAACCTGTAGCTCGACAGACCAATTTCCCAATTGAGCTACAGAGTAACTGGGCAGTGGATCAGCTCCCCTAAGGGGAAAGAAACACTCCACCTCAGAATTCCAAAGACCCACGGAAAGACCCTTGTAGGTATTAATTACTTGGAATTGTTCTTAATCTCCAAAAATATCTACAAGAAACACGAATGTCAACATATCATTTTACAACTTTCTTTACCTTGGTTTTTTGGTTTCCCAAATGGTTTCTGGAAGGGCTTTGCAGCACTTCTTTTCACCTGTTTCCAAAGAGTATCTCCTTTCTTCTTAGATTGATCTTTATCCATTCTACAATTAGACCAAGATTAAAATTTATGCATTAGAAAATAGTAGTTTAGTGAGGCCAACTGATACACTTCTCCATGCCGCTCACTAAGTTTATTTCAAACAATTTCCAATATTTTGCTGTTCCCTACAACGAATATCTCAACTTCATTTTTAATGTCAGCAAACTAGCTGTCGTGGTCCAAAATCTCCAAATTATAACTTTCCCTGCCAGTAAATCACCAGGATACTTTTGAGGACTTCAGTAACACAAGAAAGTCTTTCATTCTACTTGTATAACACATCACATAAGGTTCCATTCATTAGGTATATTGCAGGGCAGGGGGGGTGGGGGGTGGGGGGCAGAGGATATTTTTTAAAAGGGCAAAATTTTTTAAGATCGGGCCCCCAATTCATAGAGAATTTTCAGACAGCCCCCCTTCTTGACCAAAAGAAAAAATGGCAAACTCCCCCCCCCCAACCAAGTTTTGACGAGAAAAGTAAAATATAGGCAATTATTGTGAAATGGTGGACAGATTAATGTTTAAATAGAAAACTTAAAACAAAAGGTAACCAAAGGTTCACCGATTTTTGTGAAATAAAAATACAGTCGACTCTCTATAACTTGAACCTTGCACTAACTCAAACCAAAATCGATTTCCCCTGGATTTCCCTCATACATTCACTGTAATTTTACCCTCGGTAACTCAAACCCTTGATAACTCGAACTCTCCATAACTTGAACTCCCGCTAACTCGAACCAATTTTCGTTTCCCCTCAGGTCATTTTCTATATAATTTTACACTCGATAACTCAAACCATGTTTTGAGCCCTTAAAAAGTTGGGAAAAAAGCTGTCTAATGGCATCTGAAACATTGAATTTTGGATTTCCTATTGACATGTTGTAGGAGTATAGTTTACTAGTGGAGGCTGATGTTAATTGTCACAGGCTAACGTGAAGCAGCTTAATTTTCGTCTCAAAACAGTAAAACGCATGCTCTATTTAGGCTATGTTTTGTTACGTTACATTCTGATTTACAATCTAAAAGTATCTTTTAATTTTCACTTGACAATTCTACAATTAAATGTGATTACATGTAAAATGTTCACAGTGCAGTAAAAACTGTGCCGTAAAAACTTCACAAAGACAGTTGCAATGTGTTTTCAAGCATTAAATTTGTACAGTTTAATAACATTCATCAGCAAATGTTAAACCAGTGAAACGTTTTTCAAGTTCTGTATGCTATTTGTGCCATCAAGCACTTCAAGACATTCCAATGTGAACTTTTTTGCATAAGAATACTAATTATAAAATACTTTGTATGGCTGTTATGTTAGTTTATAGAGCTCTAGTTCAGTCCATTCATTAGTCTTGATTTCAGTGGCTACGGCTAAACACAGAAATAACGACGATTTTCCAGTTAAAGAAAGATTGAACTTTTCATTGACATTTTGTGGACGTTGTTGACTCGAAAGCAATTTAATAGCTTTACAATAAAAACACTTAAATGTTATATTAATAGTTAAAGTCCTATAAAGAGTGTATTTATCCAGCAAATAAGCTAGCAAACTTTCTTTAAGCATAGAGTAATTAAGGTAGTCTTCTTTTATAAAAAAATTCACAGAACAATGCTTCCTAATTTTAATAAATGGAGAAAAACAAATTAGCAACCCCCCTTTCTTCTGTCAAAAATTTTGGTAACTCCCCCTTGTCCCTTGCCAAAAAATTTGAGATCCCCCCCCAAAATCCTCTCCCTCCCCCTCCCCCTGAGGTATACATAATGAATGCAGCCTAAAAGAGGATTCAGACTGTAGAGGAATACCATTATAGATTAGTATAGTAAGGGAATACCTTTCTTCAGTAAAATGAAATTCCGTCAGTCCTTCACTCTAAGGCGTGCCAACTGTCTCGGTTAACCAGTGTAACTGAAATAAATGGCAAAAAGTAATACTTTAACACAAAAACAGAAATGAAGTCAAGATAGTTTTCCACAGAGTTCCATACATTTTATTGTGTATAAAATGTTTTGAAACTATTCATAAACTGTTTTAGTATAAATTAAGTATGAGATTGTTAAATGCATATAAATGTATGGGGTTGTATGGAAGTCTTACCCAAACGAACTTGTCAAGACACTGGGTAGAGGATCGCTCATGTAATTGAAATGACAGACGTCTGTCATGAATTTTTAGAGGGTAACTTAGGGGCGCAGAGATTTCGTTTGTAAGAGAGAAAAATGAGTTTATCATACTGCTGATAAAAAGCCAACTCTTTAGTCTCAAGACAACAGTTTTTGCTTTGTAATTTCATCTTTAATTGAACATGATAATTTTAAAACTCTCCTGAAAATGAAGGGCTGGTTTATAACCGTACAAGTGATGCAAATGTAAATGCAAGTACAGTGAGATATGCATGTGCAGTATCCTGTATCATAACTTTATTGATTAGGGTTAGGAAACTGAGTTAATCAAACTTCCATTTTCACTCATTATACCAGACAAACTGACCTGAAAGTTGATTAACTCAGTTTCCTAACCCTAATCAATAAAGTTCAGAGTCATTCGGGGGTTTAGGGGGTCTTAGGGGTCTTTGTTTTCAACGACACCTTTGAGTCTATTGCGAGAAAAACAAACTCACAGAGGCTATTAAAAGAGCCAAGAAGAATTTCTTCTACGAATCTTTCAGAGAAAACCGTGATGACTCTAAGAAGATTTGGTTTGCCCTTAAGGATCTAACTGGCCAGAAAAATCATGGGGGTGTGTCCTATTTAGACGAGAACAGGTCAACCTATAAATACGCCATGAAACTGCAATGGCAGTAACATCAAGTGGGTCCAATGATTCACATTAATTAATTGTAGAAAGAGAAAGAATATAGGCTTCTAAAGAAAGACTTACAATGAACATTTATAGACTCATAGTAAGCAAAAACAGCTGCGTTTACTGAGGTCAAGAAGCTTACCTAACGTTGATTCAGTGTAGTCGATTGTTCAGTTATGAAGAAGCTTCAAAAGTCTGGAATAAACAATAACCACATTGATCAACCTTTATAGATGAAGCATTACCTATTATCATTCCCTTTTGAAAGCAATTAAGCTAAGCAACTGAAAAAAAAGCTAACTGACCTCGCAATTCATTGCTAAGAAGAAACTGCCAGAAAAATTGTCACATGTACTTTCACTCTTTGGTCCCAGTATTTTGCTCGGTCGATCTGCAAAAAAATTGGAATGTCGATAAAGGAAAACTAAATGAGGAAATTGGATCGAATTATGTCAACTATCAGGAGAAGCGATAAATAGGTCAGTACAATTTGTATTGTATCAATAAGAGTAGTATCAAAGGTATAACTTGTTATCTAAATATTATATGACTGAATATTAAATTTTGAGCCTTCCGTAAAATTTAGCTTTATTGGCGGACGATTTTATGGATCATGTTTGTATTGAAAAGCACTGAATGCGTCATGTTGATTCTTTAGATGATTCTCTTCTCTTAAGCTGCTCATAAAATGGGTAAGTTAACCTTTCCGATCAAAAATCTACAGCTAAAGGTAAAATGTTGATAAGTACAAACCTCTTGACTTTCCAAGAGCAAATGTCTAATGTAGAGAAAAAAAGAGACAGAAGAACTGATAAGTAAAGATAAGACTTATCTTTACTTAGGGTCTCGGGGGGGTACTGTACGGTGGCCCACAACGGCATTACACAAATATCTATTATATTACTGCATTCTATATCTTAGAACACAAACATATTCATTGTCTGTGCGAGTATATTTACCAGTACAATAAAATATACACCAGTACAACAATATGCATCCCAGTACAGACATGTTAATTTCAGTACAAAAATAGAAACTCCAGTACAGAACGATATCTCCCATTCTTAGTACACGAATAACAGCTCCAGTAAAAAAAATATCAATCTCTCAGTACAAAAACATAAGTTCCGGAACAAACATATTCATCGGTTGTGCGACTATATTCTTCAGTACAGTAAAATTCATGTATACAACAGTACAACAATATTTATCCCAGTACAAAAATATAAATCTCAGTACAAAAATAAAAGTTGTGGTACAAAAATTTTTAAAAAAAAATGGAAAGAAAAATATAACAACAGTACAACAATGTGCATCCCAGTACAGAAATATAAATTTCAGTACAAAAATAAAAGTTTCGGTACAAAAAAATATTTAAAAAAAAAAAAATTGGAAAAAATCGGTAGGTACTTTATATATGATTATTACTATGTACCTACATATATGCTTATTATAGTGTACCTAAACAAACCTTATATATTTCATTATTATAAATTATCTCGACTATACAGCACTAAACACCACCTTACAACTCTATGCCACACCATACACCCCTATACATCACCATACGTCCATGTACAACACCATGCACCTCTATATCTTACATATACCTCTATACATCACCACACATCCATGTATAACGCCATAACCATATACCTCTTTTCATCATCATACACCTCTATACAGCACCATACACCCATGTATAAAACCATGAACCCCTATACATCACCATATACCTCTATACAACATCTTACACCCCTATTCATAACCATACACTTGTATACAATGGTCATGTGTAGAGGTCTGTGGTTATGTATAGGGGTGTAAGGTGATGTATAGAGAGTACATGGTAATGTATAGAGGTATATGGTGATGTATAGAGGTGCATGGTATTATACATGGGTGCTGACATGGGTGTATGGTGATGTATAGGGCTGTATGGTGTCATACATGGATGTGTGGTGATGTATAGGGGTGTATGGTGTTATACATGGATGTGTGGTGATCTATAGGGGTGTATGGTGATCAGTAGAGGTGTATGGTGATGAAAAGAGGTATATGGTGATGTATAGAGGTGCATGGTATTATACATGGGTGTATGGTGAGGTATAGAGGTGCATGGCGTTATACATGGATGTATGGTGATGTATAGGGGTGTATGGTGATGTATAGAGGTATATGGTGAAGTATGTAGGAGCATGGTGTTATAAATGGGTGTATGTTTAGAGGTATTTGGTGAGGTCTAGGGGTGCATGATGTTGGATGGTGATGCATGGTGTGGTATAGAGGTGTAGGGTGGTGTTTAGTGTTGTATAGTCGAGATAATTTACAATAATGAAGTATATAAGGTTTGTTTAGGTATGCTATAATAAGCATATATATTTAGGTACATAGTAATAATCATATATAAAGTACCTACCGGTTTTTTCCAATTTTTTAAAAAATATTTTTCTGTACCGAAACTTTTATTTTTGTACTGAAATTTACATTTCTGTACTGGGATACACATTGTTGTACTATTGTTATATTTTTCTTTCAATTTTTTTTTTGTACTGAGATTTATATTTTTGTACTGGGATAAATATTGTTGTACTGTTGTATACATGAATTTTACTGTACTGAAGAATCTAGTCGCACAACCGATGAATATGTTTGTTCCGGAACTTATGTTTTTGTACTGAGACATTGATATTTTTTTTACTGGAGCTGTTATTTGTGTACTAAGAATTGGGGATATCTTTCCGTACTGGAGTTTATATTTTTGTACTGAAATTAACATTTCTGTACTGGGATACAGTATTGTTGTACTGGTGTATATTTTATTGTACTGGTAAATATACCCGAGCAGCCAATGAATATGTTTGTGTACTAAGATATATAATGCAGTGATATAATAGATATTTGTGTATTGCCGTTGTGGGCCACCGTAGTACTGTCATATATAAGCTGAATTTTATGAGGAAAATACTCAGTTTATTATTTTTTTATGCAGAGATCGCACAAATTCGCCACGAGGAATTATATAAATAGTCTTTGCTGAGTTCCTCGGGAAATAGTTCTAACTCAGTTCGTGTAGTTAAACGGCTTCAACAAGCTCCAACAGTGGCTCAGTGAGAATGAATCCTACTTTAATTCACACTTCCTTGTCGAAAAACAGGAGAAAAAAAGATTGACCAATCACCATGATTGGAAGATAAACAGCAGAACTTTGTGTTTAGCGACAATTGTAAAAACGCATTAATCTACCAAGAATGAGTCCAGAATCACGCGATCTAAATTTGCAAAATAAGGGACGCAAAAGTGACAATATGTTTTAGTTAAAAGAAGTTGCAGCTTTGTTGATTGTGCGCTTAAAACGAGAAAGAAGTCTGTTAAAGACTGAGAACATTATTTAAGACTTCTTGAAAGCCCTGGACGCTCACGACGGTCACTGATCTTCAGCTGATAATTTTAAAGGGGCTGTGTCACGGCAGTCCAGTTCATTTTGTTTAATTTTGCCAATTACTCGCCCTCAATCGCTATGAAAATTAAAGTAAGCAAAGAAATTACAGGTATATGACAAAATCAGAGATCCGAGACAAACAAATATGTCTCCTGAGTATTATTTTTGAAGTTGCAAGCAACAGGGATCAACTTTGAAAAACTGTTAGGCTGAACAGTTTTAAAAAACCCTAATTTCAATCCGTTTCAATCTTCTTCAGTTTTGCCCATCCGTGGCATCTGTTGTTTCTGTTATGTTATTTTATCCTTCCTTTAAAGTTTTAAGCAGTTATTTTTATGTTTCTCTTAATTTAACGGGCATTTTGTAATTTCGTAATTTGGCTGAATTTCGTGACGCAGATAATTTTAAGTTTACTGATCATCTTTTCACACAAAAATTCCTTTGCAGCTTGAAATTAATGATTTCAAGAAGAAGCTTCCTGAAAAGTTGCATGCAATGTTGGCTCAATATAACAGAATCAGTTTTGTGTTAGTAAGACCTTCATGTAATATATCAAACATGAGACGCAGTGTTTCATCACCAGATGAAACACCGAGAAGAGAGTTGAAAATACGACGCGCAGCAGAGTATTTTTGACGAACTTCGAGGTGTTTCATCTGGTGATGAACCACTGTGTCGAATGTTTGATATTTCTTCTCAAACAAAATCATTTTTGAAGGAGAAATTAAGGATGCAAATACTAAGCAGTTTTTCATCCGATTTCCAAACACTCATTAAACATTAATTTTCTTTGTATTTTCTTTATGAATTATTAATGAGTTTGAGAATTCCTTATCATTAATGTCGCGATTTACCCCTAAAACTACACTGCAGATAGTATCTAGTGACAAAACAAGCCACAAATACAGGGAAGTAATGCCGTGGCGTTCATTCTCTGCTTATTCATCACTGCCTTGAACTTTAAAGTTTCTAAACTAACAACAGTGGACATTCGAATTTCAGAAAGTCTGCTTACCGGCGTCACTGGGCGATCCAAATGTATAGCGGTACATCAAGAACCAGCGATAATACTACGGTACCCGATTTCTCCTTCTTTGATTTAAGAGCGGCTGTCTGTAAATATATAGAGAATTCACCGTCAAAACTGAAATTTCGAAATACTTCATTTTCAGTCAGAAAGAACCCTTTGGTACGGTAGCCCACAACTGTCACGGCAAAACCAAAAACCTCACGGCAAAAACAAAATACCTCACGGCAAAACCAAAAACCTCATGGCAAAAACAAAAACCTCACGGCAAAACCGAAAACCTCACGGCAAAAACAAAAACCTCTCGACAAAACCAAAAACCTCACGGCAAAACCAAAGACCTCACGGCAAAAACAAATACTTCACAGCAAAAGCCAAATATCTCACGGCAAAAGCAAATACCCACGGCAAAACCAAAGCTATTTTGTTTTTGCTGTGAAGTATTTGGTTTTGCCGTGAGGTATTTTGTTTTTGCCGTGAGGTTTTTGGTTTTGCCGTGACAGAAGTGGGCCACCATAATACGAATACTTAAGTCTTCTATGAATATCGTTTTTTTTAACTTTAACGTATAAATGGAATAACTGAAAACCGCCGTGAAGAAGGTCAAGTGCAGACTATATACATGTATGTACCGAAGGAAAGCGGAATGTTAAAATCTCAAATCAAAAATTTTCGATAAAGTGCATCTGAAAGTTTGTTTCATTCGATAAAAACCCGTTACTGAGGGGCTGGAAGTTGTTAGAGTTCAAATGGCAGCTGAAATGGGAAACTGAAACTGCGTTTGGCGAACCAAACAACAAAGGTCAACAAATAATATCGACACCACCCTAAGCACTCCTTTCTTAATTTATTTTTTGATTTATTTTATGTTCAGTAATTAAAGAGCTTGCGTTCATTATAAATTAGTCCTATTGCTTCAGTGACCCAGGTGGAAGGTCGCCCTTAATGCGCTCTTCCCAACTGGTCGACAAAATGCTTTAAATCTATTAAAAACTGTTATATTGACACAAAATGTTCGTACGAAAAGTAATATTATTGAAACAAACAACTGAAGGGCACTTCGCCTCTTCATAAAATACGTTATTTAACCGGCCAAGAAAGTACTCAAAGTTTCCTCTTATGAACTTTACGGGCAAATTTATCATCAGTGAACTCAGAGGAACCATTTGATGTTCGTCATTACCTGAGTAAAACCTTGCTACTACAATTTGTATTAAAAACGCTTTACAAAGGGTACAGGATCGGCCTCTGAATGGTTCCTTTATACTATCTACCTCTCACTTGTCGGTCTATTCCCCACCGTAGGGCACACAAAAAAGGCCGTAATTCCCACCCAGGGACTTTTCATCGAGCCCAAATATGCGGCTGTTTCGTTTAATAATTTATGTAGAAAATAAAGAGAACCTGACTTACATTGCATCAACAACAACAACAACAAAAAAGACCGGGATACCCGCACAACCGGCGCTATTGTTTCACGCGGCCACAAATACTTCGCAGACACACACACACAAAAAAACACAATGAAAAGTTAGTTTTAATTTGCCAACCCTCACTATACCCTCAGCCCCCGGGGCCTGGGCCCGAAGCTCTGGACTTTTCCCGCAGGCTGCCTTGGGGACGGAAAGTAGAAGATGAAAAAGAACAAGGTTTTTAGGGTTTTGGTCATTTGGGTAAACGATTTGATAGCCAGTTATGTGTGTGTGGAGCAAGTATTTCGTAGCTAGTACTCCGTAGAGTGCCAAGTATTCAATACGATATCGTCTTATCGAAGGTATTAGACAAGAAAGGGACTGATGCTAGAGGGTACTAACTCTAGGTGTCCGTTTTTTTTTTTTTACCAAAGTTAGCTGGATAAATTGTGGAGCAGAGAAATGGAACTTTTTCTACTGTAAATCAGCCCGTAATTTTACGTAGATCAAGAACCCATGCTGAAACGAAACACCTGGAGCGCAGAGGGCGTAAAGGAGATTTGTCACGCCCTGTGAACGTGTGAGCACGAGGCACACGCGCGCGCGAAAATCATGCGATCTCGGAACTTCTGGTAAACGCTCATCGCATATTCCAGCTTCAAAGCGAGTAAATTTAAAAACATCAGGTTTGCGTAAATTGAGTTTTAATCTGAGAGAAAACATTTTGAAAATAATATATGCACTTTGCATGTTTATCCATTTTTGACCAAATAAATGATGTGTTTTCCAATATACCGGTTCAGCCTGGACCAAAAATATTTTATAACACAGCGCGTTCAAAATTCTACGTATTTTAATGTGGACAGGGCTTAAGATAAACGTCCACGCGTGGGGCGGAGAGCCTTGCGTGACTCTTGCCCGAACGGCTGCGAAGGAGACTAAAACCAAGAGAGAATGAGCTAAAACTGATCATGACTCCGATCAAGTCACTAGCCATGATAAAGCGATCGTTGCAGAAAGCATTCATGTGTGAATCACATGTCATGATCACGATTCATTTCGAATGGTGTCTCTTGTTTTTTTACATTTTTGCTATGGGAGGGGCCAGCCATTTATTTTTTAGGGGGGAGTAGGGGGGTTAGCAAAAGAAAAACAAAGTCATGCACAAGAAAAGAAGGAGAAAAAATTGGTACACAAGGAAGCATGGGAAAACATTTATGCAAGTCTCACCTATTTTTGGGATTTGTATAACGGAAATGTTAGAAAGGAAATTCTCATATTTTTAATCGTATTCGAATGAAAAGTGTTGAATAGCCATAATTTCGACCTTCCCGATATAAACAACCGGTTGCAAAAATGTTGAGACACTCCCACGAAAAACCGACCTTTCTTGCTTCAAATCGCTCCTGGTCACAGGTCTGTGAGAAATAATACTGACCTCCTTCCTCCCTCCCATTCAAAGTTGTTCCTCCAAGTTTTGAGCATGGTCTTGTATTGCTAGCAACTTTGATAAGCGTGTGGAGGGGGGATCACAGCACAAGATCATGGACAAGCCATTTATGCCAAAATACGGTACAGTGTCTCGAGTATTATCATACACTTCACTTTTCTGAAAACCCCCCCCCCGGGACGTAATAAACGATCGGTCCCTTATCTTGCAATATTTTTACCAAATAGTATTGTAACTGGGATGCCTTACTTACCTGCCAAAGATAAACTTGTTTCCTTCAACCGCCTTTCTTCCCGAGGGCTTTACAAATGGTAAAATTCCCTAAAATTTAAAGGGTTTAGATCGGCGACTATATGACGTGGGGCAGCATTTCACTTTTTGGCGGTTTTCTCGAAAAAGAAAATCCTCTCGAAACGATTGTGATTTTCGAAAATGTTTCACCAAAGGGTTTTTCCTGACTGAAAATGAAGTATTTCTAAATTTGAGTTTTGACGGCAAATTCTCGATATTCTTAAGACAAATTAAGACTTGGAAAACCGAACAGTTAGCATGGCATTGGAGATATTGAAGTTCTTTCCGATCTGCCTCGGAAGTGAGACATATGTGCAAGATGATGTACTTCAGTGGAAGAGTAATTATATTTAGATCGAATGATGTCAACGTCTGGGCCAGAAAATAGAAACAACGTATCATTCTTGTACACATAATGCAATGTTATACTAATATTATGTTATGCTATAAAGAAGGAAAGAGTAATTTTAAGTCACACACTTTTCAGGTGTTGGCCAGTGGGGGTAGCAGCGTATCATTATACCCATAAGAATTTCTCCCAAACACCGTGTAAAATACACAGCGGCAGGAAAACCAGGCAAGTTGTTCTCGATGCTCCGAAGGTGCTCGCCAAAACGTTGTCTTTGTCTGTCGGAGATTATTCGGAAATAAAACTTTCAACAGGCAAACAACTCCTATAATGAACATCCTGTAAGAACAGATTTCAATGAATGATTCTTTTAAAATCAATTAATAGTGTAAGGCTGAAATTTTTAAACAAATTTTATTTAGACAAATTGGAAAAAACATTGTACGGGCGACGTGATTAAACGTGCTGTTATAAGGAGACATCTACAGACGTATAGTCTTGACCTTAAAAGAAAGCACACTTATATACATTAGGAAATAAGCACGTAATTCTTTGTTCAATTATAGGATTGCTTTCAAAGCGTTGTTTTCCATCTAATTACTTGCCAATATTGTTATTGTAGAATAATTAAAGTACTCGCTAAGTGAATGAAAACAGCGTACAAATTGGTCAGGTTGCTAAGGCGGGGAACTGACTGACTGGCGGGAAAACTGGCAATTAGACGAAAGCGTGGGAGAGTGCACATTAGGAAAACTAGCCTCAACAAACCAATCAGAGCAAAGCGCGGTAACCGCGCGCAACGCATCACTGATATGGGCTTTGCTTCTGATTGGCTAATGGAGGGTATGAACTTTTTCACTGTTTCTACACGAAGAAACTACTAAACAATTTCGAAAGGTTCACTTCAGAGTAACCATTAGCAGTTAGGACTTTGGAAATCACTGAGTGCACAGCTTTGTAAAATGACTTCGTAGTCTGTGTTACGCCCACAGCTAAAAAAAGAACAGACGAAAGGAATTTGAACAGATTGTTTAAAGGTCAAATCAAATAAATGAGTAAATAATAATAATAATAATAATAATAATAATAATAATAAACATTTTTTTATTCTATGGTGTGGATAAAAATTGTGCTTTCTACAACTTCCTTGGAAACATTTAATATTTGTTTTGCCAGCGGAAGCACAAGTTTCTTGCCTCGTACCCAGGCGCGTTCTAGCGGATTGGAGAGCGACTGGATCATGGTATTATTGGAAAGGCGTTCACCCTTTCCAACGTCCTTTGCGTCAACGCTCAACGTTCCCATGGTTCATTGTGCGATACCCTCGCTCGAAGTCGTGTGTTCCGTTTTCCCAACACACTTGAGACGCCTAGGAACGAGGCAGACAAGTCCCCACGTCCAGCGCAAACACAGGCACAGACATACAAAAAGGCACGTGATCATTCTGTAACCCAACATGACAGTTGAGCCCTTTCCACCTTGCAATTGTGCTTGCGTTTGAGTTGTCCCCGTTCAAACGCGTAAAAAGCGAACGTAAGGAGAAACGTAAGCCTTGACGCAAGAAATGGGCGCTCGGGTTTACGTCAACCCTTGAAGGTTAAGTTGTCCTTCTACCTGCCCAAAGCAAGAACAAACTATTTTAAGAATAGTTTTGCTTTTGCGGCTGTTGAGCTATGGGGTTCCCTCCCTTCTTGTTCAAAGAAAGAGACTTTTCTGCAAAATTCAAGGCGAGGATCAAGTCGTACATACTATCTCAGTCAACCATTATAAATTCTCTCCTTTCTTAGTTTATAGAGTGCGCGATCTCTTCTTAGCCGCTTTAGTTTTAGATATAAACATATTTTTATGTAATTGAATTTCTTAAGCACGGCTTTCGAGAAGAACAGATAGTTTACCGTAAAGGTATTTGATGAAACTACCGTGGGTAAATAACGTTTTCACTCACACTCGGCACTTACTCAAAATACTGACCTGTTTTTGAATTTTTCACCGCGTGATCGAAGTCAAACAAGCGGGAGAAGTACAATAGTTGAGTGTACAGCGCTGTGTCGGAGAACTGAAAACAAAACAATTTGGTAACCACTAAAGGAGTTAGGCCACGAAATGTTAAATAAATAAATACTTAAATAAATAAATAAGTAATGGTGACAGGACTGAGTGGAGTCCAATTCGGTCTGTAATCATACGATTAACAAAATCGGATGACCGCGTAGCGGGAGTACGAGTTGTTTAATCACGAGTATGATTACAGACCGAATTGGACGACACGAAGTTCTGTTACCAATTTATCATAATTTTGACAAAATTTGTGATATATAAGGCTCTTTCGTTTAATCAAAACACAAGAAATTCCACGATCTTTTTCTCTAGCAGTGAAAACAAGCCATTTAATCGCGCGCGTGATGGCGCGTACTGTCCAATAGGCTGATTTAGCGACAGAACGGGAACGTCACTTGACTACGGGAAATCGCGCGGAAAAGACTAAACTCGAATTCTGGTGCCCAATTTACCGCTCAGCCTTTGGTCAAGCCAGTTGTTTGATTTGCGCGCACCACTGTCAACCTACCTTCCCGTTCTGTTGCTAAATCAGCCTAATTATTTACGCATGACGCGTACTGTCCTATTAAGGCTGAAATCAGTGCAGTTGATAGCCAATCAGATTTGAGAATTTTATTATAGTTATGATTAATAAATAAATAATAAAATAAAATAAATAAATAATGATGTGGAGATAGCACATCCACAAAGCGGTTCTACGTCTACCTGATGCCTGGTGGAATTGGTATTTGGAGATGTTGGTTTTTGAGGAGAGGGGAAAAGCGGACTACCCAGAGAAAAACCTCTCAGAGTGAACTCAACTCACATTATGGCATCGACGCCGGGATTTTAACCCGGGCCACATTGGTGGGAGGCGAACTCTCTCATCACTCCGCCATCCCTTGCTCCGCGTTCAAACGGACGCAACCTTGTTGGCCAACAAAGTTTTGAGTCAACAACTCCCAAGATTTCTTTTGCTTTGTGATCGCCGAAGCGTAGCGCAACAATGTTGGATCCGTTTGCAAACCTCCTCGAACATTAATTGCTGGGGCCACGAACGCAGATTACACATGGTCTTCAAAGTCTTATGGGTTGTATCCTTCCCACGATGCACTGCAGGTCCTAACATTGTTGGGAGTTGTTACATCCGTGTGCACTCCACTGGCAACACGGAGGTTAAAAACTCCAAACATTGTTGACCTCGTCCTTTTGTACATAGTTTTAGCTGATAATACAGACAGAGTAAAAGAAAAATTTTGCACGGTCATGGTTGTTTTTGCTTTAGTTTTTTACTCACCACTGCATGCAAGTGGGCCCTGAAGCATTGTGGGCACATAGGAGAGCCTCGTTGACGTGTCAGGGGTACTTGACGTGTGCTGTAACCACAGGAAGGGTCCTCGCATTTCTGCCATTCCTGTGCGATTAATAATATTATAATGTGGATCAGGGTTTATTTCCACTGTCGCGTAATTTTCCCGTGCGAGCTCACGTAAAATTTACGCGCGTAAACTAAATAGAGGCAATGTATGAAAGAGGCCGCATTCTTGCTCAGTAATCTGCGTCGAGAAAATTGAGACCTTCTTCTGATCAGTCTTACTCCAACAGAGGTGGCATTTGAGGATGTATCATCCATTTAAGCAAGAAGCGCATATAAATAGGTCTGAGATATAAAAAATCTCCTTAGTTTAAGTCGGTAGCTCATATTACCTCTTCTCCCCATCAGTGTTCTGTTTTACGGGTATTTAAAGCTACTTAAAGCTACACGGAAAGGAAAAAAGTCAAAAGAAGAATTTGGGGTCACATCTGGGAATCAAACTAGGAACCTCCCGCACAGAAGGCCGTGCACTACTGAACCGATTAAGTGCTAATCCTTGCTCCATGCTGTATAGCCTACAAAAAAGCCGTACGAGTTGCTTTGTTATTTTAATTATAATAATTGCAGTTGCAAAGAGTAAACACTTCAGTTACCATGTAGTATTCCTTGATGTGTCTGCGCACGGCAACGTTCAACTGGTTGGAAACTGCTCCTGCACTATACTGACTGTTACATCCTGGACATGTATCGTTGAGTGCCAGTGCGTTCGACTGCAAAAAAATTGGTACAAAGTATTTATTTAAGACCTAAATCTTTATACCTTATTGTATGACCAAGTCATTTCTAATCCTGTGTTTGGTCAATTTTCGTTCCTTATCTTACTAAACGAATTAAGTTTGAACTTGAAATAGCTTTTTGTTTCCTTAAATCATCTGTCACTACGAGCTCGAGTGTATCTCCAAAAATGTTGTGCACTTGTGGGTTTTCAACTATAGCAACCTTGTAATGTGCTTCGTTTGGTTGCTTCAATTAAAGCAACAACAACAAACATTAAAAATGTTTTAAAAGCCAGTAAAATCCTGTTTTGAATTGTCACGTACTTTTGCCTTATTGGTAATCCTTTATTTGAAGCTCAAGGCATGGGATCGACAACGCTGGTTTTCGAAAATGGAAAATTCCGGATTTGACTTTAAATCACAGATCCCTGTTCAGCCATAACTCATGCATTGAATGTGCTTAACTTTATACCTCTGAACAGTGCAAATTATAAGCTCTACGACGGAAGAAAATAATATCATTTGATGTTAAACTGTGAATGAACATTAACCCTTTAAACCCCGAAATCCACATACAAATTCTTTAAACTGATCTCCATACATTTTCTAAAAGAATTAATTGAGAGAATTTGATAAAAGATCATGGTATTTTCTCTTTAGTGATCATTCTATTAATTCCCATAACTTTATCTCTTTATCTCTTTGGATGTTGTTAGGAGAAAAGTGTTGTTGGTCACTATTGGTACTTACAAAGGGTTAACTGTTAAAAGTGTACTTACAGCGCCTTTAAACAGGAGTTCGAGGGTCGTTTCTTAGCCACAGCTGGAGCGTTTACACTTGACTATAAACCGCTCAGAATCCTTGAGAAACAAGTAAGGTGCAGATTAGGGTTAGGGTTTCTTTTTGTGTTTTTAACTATTCACCATTTTCACAAAGAGCATGAGGCCCTCAAATTTTGTGTTCCGGTCTTGTGGACTTTAGAACATGCCGATTGTCATAGACACAATCCACTTTACGTTAAAACGAGACGTCTCAGTGTTATTTAAACTCCATTTCGAGGACATTTCTTTCACCTTAATTCCCAGATTGGTAATGGGGACGGAGGCGGTTCTAACTTTTGAGTCTGTGGATGAAATCCTATGGTGTTACCATTCAAATGAAACCTCTTCAGCAGTACTTTCACATGGTACTATTTATTTAGCATGTAGTTCTAATTTTTGAGTCTGTGAATAAAATCCTATGGTGTTACCATTCAAGTTAAACCTCTTCTGCAGTACTTTCACATGGTACTATTTATTTAGTATGTAGTTCTAACTTCCTTTTATTTATTTTATTTTATTTTATTTCATTATTCTTTTTAGGCTAATGATTACTTTAATTAAATATTTGTTTTCTTCTATCTCGGAGATATTAGCTTAAAGAGCTACACTGTAAATCTGAGGATAAATAAAGGTGATGATGTATGACACTGATGATGATTTGAATCTGTAGACAAAATCCTATGGTGTTACTATTCAAATGAAACCTCTTCAGTATTCTCATATGCTGCTATCTGGTTTTCATCATTTAACAAAATTAAATTGCGAAATTTCGTCGAATTTTGACCTTGATCACCTCTGGAAGGGAAAGTGTTCACAGTTATACCGACCTTAAACCTTTCCTCGTCTGTCATCTGAGCCTGGCCACCAGAGCAACGCGTCATTTTCATCATCATGAAGGGCAGAGCTGCCGCGATAACAAGAAGGGCCCAGGCCTGCGCAGCGAAAAAAAAATGGTGATAAACTTTTCAAAACATTCAGTTTCACGGGAATCTCAATGAACAGTAAAAACCTGTTAATTCGACTACGGTCACGGAAATCTCGTCGTCTTTACAGGGTTGTCGTATAACGATGCTGACCGTTGAAAAGAAAAGCCAGCTACAACAAAATTATAAAGGAAATAACGACAAACGAACCGTCGCGCGGAACACAAATTGACATTGCTCTTGGAAATCACGCATTCTGCGTGCAACCAACAGATTTGAAGGTTTCGCTGACTTCCAAAATTAACTGTAGCTAGGTTCTGAACCAATGAGATGATAGATAACAAGTAGGGAACTTAAGAAAAACTGACTCTGGTGGAGCGGCAGAGGCAAATTTTCTGTGCCAGAAGCCGTAAATACGGATAGAACACCTTTGAGTTTTTGTCCTAAAGAAAGGGCTAGGCTTCTAGGGAGAATAAAACTGTGATATCAGGTCATTTTGTTGTTTCAACTAAAGGAGTTAAAATACTTTAAACAGACTTAATCAGTGGACACACTTTGTTTAGATGCGAACAGTTTTCTAGCAGCGGAGTTAAATCGGTCATTTACTTACCTAAACACTGGGCAATATTAGCTGCATCTGTGCCGTCGATGGGATCGCACAAACGAGCTACAACTGGGTGAACCTGATTAGCGAGATAGTATTTCACATCTAGGATATAAATACGTCAAGGAGTGAAAAACTAATTGATAATGACCCATTTGAGGAAAGAACGCAGAAATTCCATACTGATGACGCAATGCCAACCAGATCTGAGTGTAAAGCTTCTGATTGGTTAGAACCTTGCTTCATTCAAATATCAAGGGCACTAACAGATCTGGATACTGACACGTCACAAGAGTCATAGCCATAATTATGGCTCTTCCACGTCATCAGTATGGAATTTCTGTGCTCGTTCCTGTGACGTCATTTCGCGGGGAAACCAGTGATGGCATCGCGAAATGTCGGCTTTTTTCTAACGCTACCTCAGCTGCTGCTAGATGAGGAAAACTTGTGTCTTTTTTTAAAAACAACGTTTATTTATTTAAAGGATACCGATCTTGAGTGTTTCAGATTTGCAGAACTCGTCCGAATGATAAGCTCGCTGACTTGGAGCTAAGGTGAAACCGTCCTGAAAGAAACAGCAGAGAAAAAAAAATAACTGAGCGAG